GGTTTAAAACACGTTTTTTGACGTTTCAACAAGTTTTTTAGAACTTTTTTATAAATAAAGTGTTGTATTAGTTATTTTATATAAGAACTTGAGAAGTTTTATGTAAATTCATCTACTTATAGGACACTTTTAATTATATAACATTTTTTTTTCCAAATAATATCATATAAAATAACAAATAGATACTTTATTCTAAAAGCGTCATAAAAATTTTGTTTAAACACCCAAAACTCTTCAAAATCCGAAACCAACAAGTGTTACAAATTCCCAAATCTGAATTTGATAATTAAAACGAACTCTCAGGTCGAGTTTCTCCAAATGATCGTACCTTTCCCCTCTCAGAGCAAACAATTAGTCATGTCCAATCATGTTTCGTTCAGTCTGCGCACCGGTAGTGAATCTCTTTTGGTAATGTATACATTTAGCTAAAAAGAAATATAAACATAAACTCAACAATAATCATATAAATTCTCACACTATATATATATATATATATATTATAAACATTGTTAATATGTATAGTAATAAGGTACCCCCATGATATTGCGGTATGCATCTCGATCTAAAGCCGAGAACAATAAATATTAATCATGCTTCAGTTTTTTTTTTTCTCTTTTTTATCCATCCCAATACTAATTTATACCCATACAATGTAGATGAGTGTATAAATAGATACCTAATACAAATAGGTTTTTACTAAATAAAAAATGTATGTTGATCCATTTTACATTTTTGTGTTGAATGTGAATAAAAAACAAATTAATGTTAAGGTTGTGAAAAACATGTGTTCCTTGTGTGAAAATGATCAGTAGATAATGTTGTTATGAGAGTCTTCCTCATAGTCATCGGTTCTAATTTTTTCAAGACTCTCGAGACTAAGTGAGGTGCAAACAAGTTGCCTATACACCATGGTTAACATGACTGTGGTTAATTTAAAATTTTTTAATTGTCGAATATAATACAAGTTAAGAATTTTATTCGTGGTTGCTACCTATGATATTGAAGTTTGTGGTTCATTAGTAGAAGAATTATTTTCAATGGTTTTTTTTTCTCAGATGCTAGTATTGCATCAAATGATGAGAATATGTTAAAAAGTGTTTATTAATAAAGCATAATGATATTTACGGTAAATACATAAATGCATGCTTGTGATTTTGTAGATGCCAATACTTTTTTTTTATAAAAAAGGAAATCAAGTTATATAAATAATATTTTTTCATAAAAAAAATATTTACAACATTTGTAGAATAGTTTAAAAAAAGTAGGTTTATAATAGATACGTATGTATATATAAGAACATGATGCTCTTGGCACAAGTCTCATTGGTCGAGTCGATTACAAGTTTAAGTGTTCCTTCCTTAACCAACCCAACCAGGTAATCCAGGTTATTGGCTTTCGGTCAAAAGAATCGAATTTTCGAACAGATGAGTTTCTTCATAATAGCACCTAAAAATACTTTGTACCAATTGTTTTTTAACTAGTCAAGATGAATATCAACTGTTTTTCAAAGCATGACTTTTACAATAGATGTCAATCTTTATAAGCATAAATTTGAATATTGGTCTAACATTTTCAACATTCAAACCTTGCAATAAGGTCTACTGGTCTAACATTTTCAAAAACTAAGAGGTAGATAAAAAAGTCGTCATACAACTGAAATATATTGGGTTAGTTTGTTTGGTTTAGTTTTAATAAGATCCAAAATAACAATCATAAACTTTTACATGCTTAAAATTTATACAATGTTTTGTATAGGGGTGAGCAATACCCCGAAATACTCGATCAACCCAACGCGGGAAACTATAGAAAGTCCGACCACGAAATCCGATAAAACCCGATATCTTCCTCGGGTAAGTAGGATCGGGTTAGGTATCCTACTCCCCCCGACCCCTCCGACGACCTGATATTTTAATTAATATATTATATTTTCCTTTTAAGTTTAACCCAAACATAACCTAATATCGGGCTATCTGTAAAGCAGGTGGTCATCCTGAGATTAGTCGACTTGCATAGCGGGTTGGATATCCAAGTTAATGAAAAAAAAAACATAACCTAATATCCTAATCGACCACGACCTTCTCCTCACTTCCTCAATCAAACTTCAACCTCAGTCAACGAGAGACGATACCACCAGCCACGACATTTTTGTTAGTTCGATATTGACATTTTGTTATAGAAATCAAAGAATTAAGAAGTCATTTAATCATTATGTTACTCACTTAGATACTTAGATTTCAACAGGAAGTAGGAGAATCTATAAATACGTAATAGACAAGACAAGAAGCTGAAAAACGCGGAAAAAATTGGGGCCGAAAACTCAACTCAAACCACCCCGAACCCGAACCGACCCGATATCCACGGGGTTTATCTACCATTTGCAGGTTTCGGGTTCCATCCCCCCCCTCCCCCGCCCCGGGAAATCCGAGTTTTCTGTTTTGGTTCCCAATCGACTTGCCTTGTTGCTCACCCCTAGTTTTGTATAACAATAAAAGTTAAGCAATCAAAATTATCCAAAATTATAATGGTATAAATTGTAACCAAAAAAATCACATTTTTAACGTATTTTAATTAATCTATGATTATGTATTTTTAATATGATAAATGTATAAGATGAAAACGTAAGAAATATAAAACAAATTAATTCGTATGTATTCACAATTTTTATTAGTATGATTAAATGTAAAAGTATTCAATATTTTGTTCAATTTGAAGGTATTGATGAGACGGTTATCATGGTACAATTTCTAAAAAAAGAAATGTATTTTTTTAATAATTTTAGTTCACAAACTATTATTTATGTTAATATGATAAGGATGTAAAATGAAAAATGAAAATGTAAGAGATTTAAATTAAATTAAATAACTAATTATAAGGGTATAAATGTAACTTAAAAATCAAAAATGATTTTATTTTAAGTTTTAAAATTTATACATTTAGCATAAGAACTTGTAATTCTTAAAATTTTAAGAGTAACGAAACTACTGCTTTTTAATATAACTAGAAGGATACTCGTGCAATACAATGAGATAAATCTCGATTTTAATGTTCTATTTTATTCGTTGTCGTTGTTATAAAACGATTTTATGTGCTTTTAATAAATCAATAATGATTTTATTTTTAAATAAAATATAAATTTGAAAATATCATAAATTTTAAAAAGAAAATATCAATGTTAATATCAAATCAACTATTTAAAAGTTCTATTTTTTTATGTAATTTATTTTTTTATTATAATTTATTTTAAGTTTAATAATGAAATAATTTATTTTTGGTTTAATAATATAATATTTTATAAACATAATATTAAGTACTCTGTTAGAACTTAATGATTATCCTAATTATATTTTAGATTTTTTTTATTTAAAATGAGATGTTTATCTAATATTTGGTTATGTTTATCTGCAGTTAGTTACACGAATTCAGATATGAAGCTTTAATAAGTTGTACTTACGCATAATCTAATTGTAATTTTGAGTTTTAAGTAACATGCATTAATAAACAATATTTTATGCATAAAAAATGGTTTTTAAGATTTTTTGTTAAATGCTTTATAATATAATATAGATAGAGAAGTATAGATATAGATAATAGACTAGTATATTATATATAGATATAAATATTTATTGAAGATGTATATAATAGCGGTGGATTGTGTTGGGTTGAACTGGGTCAACCCAATTTTAACCGTCTTAATTGACGGCTTAGTGGTTTGATGCGATAACAGTTTAAACGAGTTGAATTTAATCGGATTGTTAATGGATTGGGTTGAAAAGTTTGATAATTTTTATAGGGAAATTGGCTCAAATGACCATTTCTACTCTCAAATTGGTCTCCTAACAATTTATGTTCCGGTTTTACCCGAATGTCATTACTTCCACAATATTTGCTAAAAAAAATCAAATTCAACCAGTTTACCATCGTAATTGCGGACCTGGTCGTAGCTATTGTGGACCTAACCATCGCAATTGGAGATTGGTGTTGAATTTGAATTTTTTTTTGCCTTTTAACTAATATTGTAAACTTGAATATTAAAAAAATAACGACATTTAAGTAAATATAGAAGAAAAAAATGGTTATGAGACTAAGAGGGTGTTTGAGATTGCTTATTTGAAACAACTTATATTTTTCTATAAAAACACTTATTAACTTATTATAAGTCAGAAGGGTTTAACTTCTTCAAAAACTCCTTATTACCGGTATAAGTTKTTTATCCAAACACTCAAAAATGCTTATTACCAATGTCACACCGAAATAAATCAATAAGTTATTTTTATAAGCAATCTCAAACATCTCTAATTTAAACAAGAAAAATAATCATTTACATCAATTTTCCTTTTCTTTATACACCCGAAATAAGTTCCATACGATGACAAAAAGGGACGGTTTTGCGAGTGGGTCAACGTCAAAACCGGCCCACCTTCCCCCAACCGTTTGTGTTGAATTCCATGGTATCTTCTTCTTGTTTATTCTTCTTTTCTCCCGTTAAACACGGTTTCAAATTTCAATATCCCCCACTCATTACTCCACCACTTTTCTTTTTTCATTAAATATGTTTTATTTTTTAAATCTATAAATATTTCATGTTTTTTTTAATTGGTTTTTTCAAGTGTTACTACAAAATAAATAAAAATAATGACACTAAACCCAAGTGATAGTTTTTTAAACACTCATTAATCAAAAAAATTAGCATTAAGTTTCACAATAATAAAGAAAATTAGTTTAAGTATTAAAAAATTAAACGTGATTAATTTTATATTTGTATCCTTTTAAGATATCATCGTTTTTAAGACGCAGTTCATTTTCAATAATTTTTTAATTTATATATTTATTTCAAATATAATTGTTGTTTCAAGTTAAAATATGATTTGTTATATTAATAATTAAATATATATATTTAGTTGAAAATATAAATAAAATAAAAATGAATAACGCATCAAGCATAAGAAATTCCACTCCTTTTGTTTCCAAATTCACACTTTTCCTCTTTCGGTCTTTCACGCTCCCAGAAAATAATCAAAATCCAACCAACCAACAACTACAACGACATTCGCTAATCTTCTCACTCTGTGCAAAAGCGTGTTGGTGTGTGTGTGAGAGAGAGAGAGAGAGGGTGAGAAAGGAAGGAGGTTGAGTTGTGATGTTGGAGTCGTGTTACAAGCCGCTGGAGCGGTGTTTCGGCGGTGGTGGTGACGACGGACTTTTATGGCACATGGACTTGAAGCCCCACGCATCAGGTGAATACTCCATTGCCGTTGTTCAGGCGAATTCATTGCTTGAAGACCAAGGTCAAGTGTTAACTTCACCCTCTGCAACTTACATCGGTGTTTACGATGGTCACGGTGGTGCCGAAGCCTCTCGATTCATCAATAATCACCTCTTTCTTTACCTACAGAGTAAGTAACATCTCAAAACCCTAATGTTCTTTCAGTTTTAGTCGATAGGATGATGTTTCTTATAACTGAACTGAGAAACGTCACTAAAAATCAGTCGTTTCTGTTTTAGTCAAACCTCTCATCGTTTTGATCCGATTGTCTAAAATATGGCGAGGGAGAAGACCAATAAACTAAATCTCTTCAAATTCTTGTCAACCTCTAAAATGACCTTCATAGGAGTATTAAAATTAGTGCAAGAGGGATACCTAGATTTTTGAAATGGACACTCACCGATGAAAGGAGTAAAAACACTTAGAATCGATATCCACCAAAACTTCCAATATAAAACAGTAAAAATACAAGGTCATATTCAGCACTAGAGGTATAAAGTCCACTGAAACATCAAACATACCTCTACAGATGTCTATCAATACTAATAATCAACAGCAAAAGATAAAAGGAAGACCAAAGCAAAACCGGATTTTGGTCTCAACACTATCCGGTTGGGGGATACATGTGGTCTCTGACAAGTGACAACATACTCAAAATTCAACTAGGTCCAATGGTAAAAGATCATCTGTTGATACCGCTCGGTTCACTTTTAGTGATACGTGATCCTCCATATAGGAGGGAACGAAACCTAACAAAACTTCCTTACACTTGTTTAGTGTGAGGTCTGGTTTCCTCTCTTTGTTAGAGAGTACATGTTGAGTTCACATTTAAATTAATCAAGATGTTGGTTGGTAGGCTTCTCTTGTCAAGATATCCATGAACTTCTTTTAGGTGCCCACTGTCCAAGTTCTGATTTTTCACTTACCTGATCGGATATCAGTAAAAGTATGACTTTTGGAGTGCTCAGATTGCCTTAGTGTTGTATGGATCCAAATTCATAACGTGCTAGGTGACAAGCTCTTCCCAGGCTTGATGAAGCAGTGATAGATTTCAATTTTATCAATCATAATAGTCTGGTTTATGTAGGTGGATGAAGGATATGTCAAAAGTAGCTTTAGATAGTCTGCGAATTCCAAGGTATTATGTGCTAAAAGAAAACAAATTTGTGTCACTAGTTGAACTTTCGGATTTTGCAAATTGAGCACCTAAAGTAAAAATTGCATCTCTAATTAATAGCACCATCATTACGAGAGTTTACATCCCTAAAGTCTAAAAAAGAAAGCCAAAATGGTTCAGAAAACTAGCAAATAAAATACTTGCAAAGTTTCAAATGAGTTGTTGCCTTGTACTTGTGATCAACTGAATGACCATTTATTGACCGTCCGTATCAATATATCAGAATTTGCTGCTGAACATGGAGGATTATCCAAGGATGTGATAGAAAAGGCATTTGATGCAACTGAAACAGATTTCTTGCATCTAGTGAAAGAATCCTGGCTGGATAGACCACAAATTGTATCAGTAGGTTCATGCTGTCTTGTTGGTGTGATTACAAATGGTACTCTATTTGTGGCAAACCTAGGGGACTCTAGGGCTGTGCTTGGTCGGCGTGCAACAGATGGCAGGATGGTTCATTCTTCAACTGTTGTGGCTGAACGGTTATCGACTGACCATAATGTTGGGGTTGAAGAGGTGAGAAAGGAGGTCAAGGCCCTTCATCCTGAAGATTCACATATTGTAATTCATACTCATGGGGTCTGGAGGATAAAAGGCATCATTCAGGTACTAGTTTGATAGTTTCTTGTATTTCTGTTATGTTAAGTTGATGTTCATTTAAATATTACATCTTTCCTGCTAATAAACTCTTCAAAATGCAAAATGGTGATGTTAACATCTGTTAAACATTGTATCACCAAAGGGCCTTTGGACTAGCTGTATCGTAGCCTTTGCCCTCCTAGGAGAGTGTGTGAGTTTATTTGTTGCATTTGCCGTATATAAATATTATATACTTAAAAAAGAAGTTACATGCACATCCCACATGGCGCTTGATCCAGAGTTTTACAAGTGCTTGATTTTGCTTATAGTACAAGTATTGAAATAATCAGCTCAACAAAAAAATTATTGTATGCTACTTAATACTATAAACAACTGATGTTGGACATGGCGGCTTTAGGCATTTTCGAGGACATGATCTCTGATAGGAGTTCGTGGAGACGCAAGACTAGGGTAGTAGACTATGGGTGGAGATCTAGACGGGACGAAGGGAGTGGGAGAGGTAGAGGGTAGGGGTTAGTGGGTCGATGGCTAGGTTTTATGTTTTTCTTGTACTTGCCTCTATTTGTATTGCTATTGCTTACTTATATCCAACTTTTCAAAAATTAAGTTTACCTACATACCTCTCTTTTGCACACTTTTTACAAGTTGGGTCTTCATGGGAACAACCGCTCTACCCTTTGAGATAGATCTCAGGTCTGCGTACATCTGACGCTCCCAGTCCCTAGACCCCACCTCCAGGTGGGTTATACTGGGTTTTTATGGTCTGGTCTGGTTTACAGAGTACTAGTTATGTGCCTTATCTGTCATGTCATGCTTATAAGTAGCCATTTTTGGCTTATGTTATGCATCTCTTACAAGGTCCTCGTGATCAGGTGTCGAGATCAATCGGAGATGTCTACTTGAAGAAACCTGAATATAACCGAAATCCTCTCTTCCATCAGTATGCATCCCCTATACCGTTAAAAAGAGCTGTTATGTCAGCTGAGCCATCAATATTGACTCGCAAGTTGAGGCCGCAAGACCTGTTCTTAGTTTTTGCTTCAGATGGCCTGTGGGAACAACTCAGTGACGACACCGTTGTTGATATAGTTCACAAAAATCCAAGAAATGTAACCCACTGTGCATATATGTCTCTCTCTCTCTTTTTCTCTTAAGTTGGAGAATATCAAATCGTGTTAACCCTTGACTTCTTTCAGGGAATAGCAAGGAGATTAATACGAGCTGCAATCGAGGTGGCAGCAAGGAAAAGAGAAATGAGGTATGATGATATAAAGAGAATTGAGAAGGGGGTGAGGCGCCATTTTCATGATGATATTACCGTGGTGGTTATCTACCTTGACTACCATCAAGGATGGCCCAATGGTAATGGTAAATTCAAAGACGATATTACTGATAACTGCACTACTGCCCCTCTCGATATTTTCACTTTCAATTCAGATAATGGTGATCTTTCTCCCTGATCTGCATACCATTTTGCACCATATCTTGTTCATATAATAAACAGGATGGTCACAAAAATGGGGAAATGGGTTTCTTTTGAGAAGTAATTTAGAGAAAAGAGGTGATGTACATAGTTTCTATATATAGTGCGTTAGAAGGTTGAGTTGGATCCAAGTCAGTGGCCTCATCAACTGGCTCAGACCATCTTCTCTTCATGGTCTCATGAAAATGCTGGATGATCAGAGGCTCTAAACTATAATGGGTATATGTATAACTATATATGTCTGTCTATAGGTACTAATCTGTTTTTGTCTTCAAAATACGTTTTGACTTCAACCATCGGAAACTGAAATATTGTTGTCATGTATTGTTAGTTTGTTTATTTATTTGTGGTTGAAATGGAAACATACCTGTAGTTCTAATTGGTGCATTTTAGAGAGGGTTGGGGGACTAGCAAGGCCAACACAATCGGGAAAAACCCAATCAGGATGTTTAAAACTATAGATCATTTAAAATGACAAAATGAAAAGAAAATCAAAGAGTTGTTTTTGTTTTTGATCAACAAATTGTAAAATTAAATAGTTGCTTCTGATTTTGAAAGAATTAGATAGGTCTTTATTAAGGTTGGTTCACAGTTCTATATAAATCAGGCCTTGAACACAAGTAAAATCGGGTCCCAAATTTTTTGGTAGGCCTATATAAAAATCCATATTTAACATGCTAATAAACAACCTGACATATGATGCTCATATATGATTTGTCAAGTTGCGTATATTGCTTTCTCGGTTCTTTAATAGCATCATAAACGATTGTTATGTGATTTGACCAGTGAAGTCGCATACAAGTTGTGGAATGTATAGTCTTTTTTACCATGCATGCACGACCAACCAAGTGACATTTGACTCAACCAAATAATATGGTTACAAGTGTTGGTTCAAATGAGGGGGAAAATAGAGGATGAATGTTTATTCATGAATTGCTTTTGATTTAAAAACAATTAATATGTTAAATCTGATTACAATAGTCTTCTTTAAGTAAAACAAAATGGTTGAAATTTAGGTTGAAAGCCATAGTCTTGATCTCGATACCTAACGCAATGAATCAAATATCCGTGTATAAGTTTTGCAAAAAATCGTTTCCTTTTTGTTTTTTTATCTGGTTATAAAACAACTTCGTAATAAATTGTCTCATATAGATAGAAATGAGATTTATGAACTCTTTATAAGCCTTAAGTTGTGGCTTATCAATAATTTCGACCATGATTTTAAATTAAATTTAAAATTATTACGTCAATCAATTGAGGCATTACAAAATACAAACTTCAAAAATGGGGTTCATGTAGGACCTTATGAATACTTAATGCTTTTTAGTTTTAATATTAATTGTTGTTAATATATAATTCAAATTGATACATTTTCATAAAAATTAGGTGAAATTATAATTCTTCTTCATGGTTAGCAGTCAATTAATTATTGTCTTTTGCTTGATACATAATTAAAGCAAAAATTGGTCATAAGTAAGGCCTTGTTTATTTGTTTTTAGAACGTTGTTATCATCTTATTATGTCTGATTCCTTAAGAGATAGGGTCATTCAAATAGTTGTTTTTTCTCAAATCGTCCTTTTATCTGGTAAGAGGTAAACGAACCTCTTATTTGTCTCTTATTGTTCTCCAGACCCTCAGCAAGAGCATTTCTCAATCGGTTAACCTCAATCAATCCTTACCAAATCGATTCTCACATCTCTCAATTGATGTATTTTTTTATAGGATTTAAATGTGTTAAATACTGTCAAAGACATATTTTCGTTTATTAGATAATTTAGATGTAAATTTCGTAATGATGATGAATAACTATGTGAAAATGTATAAATTTATCTATAATTTAGATGTAAATTTTGTATAAACTCCCCCATTTTTACTTAAAGTTCTATTTTTATGTTCTTCCCCTTGAAAATAAATTTCTAGCAAAAAATACCTTTTATGTGTAAAGTTTTTTGTTAAACTTTGTCTATGACTATTTCAAGAAAAGCTTTGTAAAATTGTTAAAAAGTGAATATCATTTTATAAAAAGGCTATTTACGTAAATTTTCCGAAAATTTATCATCGTTACAGAACTCAAACATGAAAAATAAAAAAAGTTCTAAGGAACATATTGAAAAAATCAACAAAAATTAAAGAAGTTTTTAATTCTATTAAATAATAATAAAAAACTATATAAGAAATCATTAAGAATTAAAAAAACATTAAATAACCAAAACAATGCTAATCAAGGGATTATAACCCGAGTCTTTTGATTGCTTCCACAACTCTAAGCTGCTCAACGACTCCAATGTATGCTTATTGCTTAGTTATCAAAACAACAATTGGGAGGCGCTCGAAGATCGAAGGCTTTGTACGGCGGTACCACAGGCACACCTCTGGCCCGGCCCTGAACCCCTCTCTTTCTCTCTCTCTCTCTCTCTCTCTCTCTCTCTATATATATATATATATATATATATTAGAGTTAATCATGTAACACGTCCTTAAAGTTTGTTTGCTTTTGTAAAAGCAAGAAAAAACATAAAAAAATGCAAAAAGAAAGGGAAAACATGGTTGGACCATTTTATCCCTGGCTCTAACGGGGTCTTTTAACAACGTTAGTGACCAGGTCCCTTTTTAGAATAAAATCTATATCTGAGGGATGATATCTTGACTTATTGAAATTCAGATCTTATTTTTCATGAAATCACTAAACCGAAGGACCAAAAATGAAGTTTACTCGAAAGTTAATAAAGAAAAATAAATTTATAAACCAAATAAATGGAACTTGGCAGATAAAAAATAAAATCTATTAATTCAATCAATGAAAAAGTGTTACGTTTTTTTAGTACACGTCTACAAAAATGTTATATTTTATTATTATGTTTTATATATATAAAAAAAAGGCTATTAAGACTTTAAATATGCGATGAAAATCATTATTTGATTGTTTAGCTGTTTTACAACACAAATTTATACAATAACTATGTTTCCTTTAATTTGTCCAATATGTTTTCAGTGTAGATATCGTTTCCTTTTATGACATTATTAAAAGATTTATTTATTATTAAAATAATTAAAATAGAGTATGAAATAATATTATTTCACACCCTTTTGTTTAAAATATGACAAAAAATACATGAATTTACGTATACTCTCATCTGTTATCATAAAATACACCTTTAACGTTTTATAATAATTATCCATTTGATTTAAAAAATAATTATCCATTTAATTTTTTAAAGTAAAACATCACCATATATTTATTGTTACATCTTTTATAATAAAAACGACATATAATCTTATTGAATATTTAAAGGAGTGATGTTATTAATTTGCTTTCATATTTCTTAAAGGACACAATTTTCCCGATAGTTATTTTAAAGCTTAAACAATTTAAAAAGGTAACTACATTAAAATGCCGTATTTCTAATTTTTACTTAAAATATCTACTTTAGAAAACTTCTATTTAAAAACGTACTATATTTATAATCAAATTAAAAGACATGACATGTTTTATATGATTAAATAAACAAGCAAAGGATAGTGTAAGATAAGAAACGTAAAAATAGATATGAACCCTTGATCATTTTTAATTTTATGTTATATTCATGGATTACGTTTTAGAAAAAAACTTGATTCGATGTATCTCAATACACCTCATTAATGTTGACATTCAATTAGGCTTGATCCAAATATAAATATATATTCTTATTGCTTCTCACCATAACTTATTTTCTCACATGAATTCAACTCTATATGAACATATGATATATTTGTAATATATATATTACATTTTTGTAAATATAATTTTTTTAGAAAAAAAGTAATTAAATATTCTTCTTGTATGGATTAGACACTACGTAATTGTAGGCCTGTAAATGAATTTTACAAAGAAGAACGGAGACTTGTTCGTGGTTGTTTATTTAACCTATCGAACAAACGAACAAGAATGGTAAATGAATAATTTTTTTTTGTGTTCATGCTCGTTCTTTAAAAAATTGTGTTTGTATGTGTTTGTTTATGTTCGTTCATCAAGATACTAAACGAACGTAAACGAACGAACATAAATGAATGAAAACACATGAAATAAAAGTAGCCACCGTTACTTGTTATGTTATTTTTCAAGAATGACATAATTAACAAAATGAAAAACCGAGTAACCTAGAAAGAATGAAAAAAGAAATTCTAAAAATTTAAATTAATTAATGATTTTACAAATTAATGGACAATATATAAAAATATTTAATATACATAAACAAACATAAACACGTAAATGAACATAAACGAATGTGAACGAACGTAAATAAACGAACAAGACCAATGCTCATATTCATGTATTTATTATGAACGAACTTTACGTTAAATGGTTAACTAAATGTTCGGTTCGTTTACAACCCTACTTATTATAGACACTAGAAAAAATATTTCAATAATTAGTTTTTTTTAAAACATAAACATAAATAAATTATTTATAATACAATTTACTTTAATTTAAGAATTGGTTTTTAAGGATCTTCCTTAGAGGTCGTTTAAAGTCTATAAAACGATTGAGGATTTTTTCTAACTGTTGTTCCTGACCCCAAAATTAGTCGAGATACTTGTGTGAATTTATTTTTAAAATACTAGAAGGGTACTCGTGCAGTGCAGCGAGATAAATCCTGATTTTAATGTTTATTTTTATTATTTGTTTCTATCAATATAATACGATTTTATGTTGTTTTGAGAAAGCGGTATTGTTTTTATTTTTGAATTAAAATATAAATTTTAAGATAGTATAAAAATTTATAAAAAAAATAAATCAATAATAGTATCAAATTAACTATTTAATAATTCTCGTATTTTTGGTGTAACTTCTTTAATTCAATATTTTATTATAATTTAATTTAGATTTAGTAACAAAGTAATTTATTTTTGGTTTAATAATATAACTTTTTATAAAGATAATACTTAAACATTCTGTTAGAACTCAATAATTATCTTAATTATATTTTAGATTTTCTATATTTAAAATGAATGTTTATCTTGTATTTCATTATGTTTATCAGCAGTTAGTTACACGAAAATAAACATTGAGCTTTAATAAGTTGTATTTACGTAAATTACTTGTAATATTAAATTTTAAGTAATATGTATTAATAAACAGTATTTCATACATAAAAAATAGTTTTTAAGAATTTTTATCAATTATTTTAGAATATGGTATAGATAATATTTACCTATCTGATTTTTTTTTTTACCAAAGCCTTTTTTTCCGGGTGGCATATTAACTATCTTTGCTTTGAAGGTAGGATAGCATAAACTTCCATTTGATAGTAGCACGTGCCTAGTCACGTGCATCACAGCTTTATCTTGACGGAACCCAAACAGACGGTAACGAAAGTTACGGCATTAGCAACAACACACGAGTTCACCCACCAAATTAACTCATGGGTTTCACCCTATATCGTCCTTCCTCCACGTGTACTCGCTGCCCACATTACCGTCCGATTCCTTCAACGCCCCCCGTTCGTAGAAATTTCAACTCTATCCTGTTAACCCCCACTCAACAGCAGCGAACATAAATCACGAATTTAAAACTTGCCTCACTCCGATCTGTTAACCTTCGCCGCCGATGGCTTCAACGGTGACTCAACGAGCTGAACTCGCCAAGTTTTGCAGTTCACGTGACTGGTCCAAAGCCATTCGCGTTCTCGATTCTCTTCTCTCTCAATCATGCGTTATTCAGGATATTTGGTTTGTAGTTCGTTCATCATTTTCAATTTGTTATAAATCACTCTTTTAGATTCAGTTGTTTTGTAATTGATGATGTGTTGATGTCAATTGATGTGTTTTTTTCTTCTTCCAGTAATCGTGCGTACTGTTATAGTCAATTGGAGCTTCACAAACATGTGATTAAGGACTGTGATAGGGCTCTTCAGCTTGATCGTACGCTTCTTCAAGCTTATATCCTCAAAGGTTATTTTTTCTCCTCTACTTCTCTTTTCAGTTATGGATGTTGCGATTGATTACCTCTGTTAATAGCACAAGCTACAAGTGTTTGTAATCAAACAATTCAGAAGATGATTGAAACCTAATTTGTAAATGTAACATTTAGCATGATGTGAACCACACCTATTTAATATTTCTATACTACTGTATTGTCTGTCCAGAAATTCATCTAATTATCACTTCTAGATAAATGTTGAACTTCAGTCTCCAGGATTAGCGGACCGTTTAAGAGTTCGTAATTTGTTGCTACGTATAACTATTTAAGTGCCCAAACTTTCGATTCTTTGGTGCATATGGCTTCTGTTTTCTAGTCAAATGATCAAGCAAATGTTCGATGGAATGGAATTGTCAAATTCAGTAAGTTAAAAATCATGCCAGTGAGACACTAGTTTTATACAATAATACTTTGCTGCTGTACCAAACGTTCTAAAAAAAGTAATGGTCTCTTGCTGCCATGATTAGCAGACTATTCAAGAAGTTAGAGATACAACCTATTTATGTTTCCTTGACATGGCTATGTAGATAGGCATTTGCTTTTGTTGTAAATCGAGTTGTTCAAAGAGTTAATCACATAGCTACATAACTTGTATTTAGTTGATACACTACTTATAAGTCCGTAATTTCTCTCTTGCACATATCTGTTTTATATGGACCTGGTTTATTAAATGCACGTGCAAATGTTACTAGATTCATTTTCATGGGCATAGCTTGATACAATGTGCCAATTTGCAAGGTCTCATGAATGGCCTCATTCTTTACATGAGTGATGAGTTGAGTATACCAAAGGAGTTAACCTGGATAGGAGTGTGTGGGAAGATACTATTTATGTTAAAAAAAACCCCTGGACAGGGTGGGTGATGGAAAGGTTCTCTTCTTTATGCTTGGTTTTGGGTTTCACTTCTTTATGATTTCTTGTGGTTATTTTAAGTCTATCCCATCTAGCTTGCAACAAAGGCTTGTCTCTGTGTAAAGTATGTCCGAAGGCAGGAAACATTCCTACAGATGGAACTATCTTAAAGTATCTATCTTGCTAATAGTTACCAATAACATATACTGAAAACCCTTGGCACCAGAAGCTTAAAGTCTCTCGTGCTCGTTACCATCACTGTTCTAGTTCTTTTTAGGATTTCTTTCACTCTTTCTTTACTTGAGGTACAGTTAAGGAAAAGTCTTAATATTAGGCGAGCTTCATGGCTTATAATTTTTTGAGGATAGTTTAAGCCTGATACTTGACTTCACAGGCATGCTGGTAAAGAAAAAGAAAACTTATTATATACCTCCTACACAGTGGCACACCACAAAGGGAAAAAGAAGGAAGACTCCAACTTACTGGTTATCCAAAAATTATGTTCCAAATTTTATCCAAGAAAAGTTTGTGATTCATCAAATAGTTGAACTACAATAACTTCTATTCAGCTTTAATGGCCAGATTATTATACAGATTTGAATTTCTTGTGTCACACCTATAATGGCAAGAGAGACTTTTCTCAAGATCACTGTTATAGTTACCATCTGTTGGTATGATGGAGAATGCAGCAATCCAAGAAATTGAATTGATGATGCTTCTTTTGAATGCAATATATATATATATATATATATATATAGTTGTCTAACATATGAAGAATGTGTGAAGGCAAACAAAGAACAAAAGCATGATTGGTTTGTTAACATTTTCGAAGTATCTTGCTATAGTTAACATGGCCAAACCAACTAGAGACCACACGTTCATTCATCTCACCGTAAACTAGAGGTACTTTTGACTTTGCAATAGTTTTTCCCATTAATTACTTCATTTCCATGTAAAAGGTCATTTTGTTCACGAATCCATTCACAGACTCCATCAAGCATATATATGCCTTTGTGACCTTGACAATGGTGTGAATCAATTCCATAATGACTTCATTAAGATAGATTTTCTTCATATGAAAAAAATGGGTTTTTGTTTTACTTGGGACATAAAAAACAAGGAAAACATTTATCACCACTATTCAATATGTTGTCCACAAAGTTCAAATTTGTTTCTAACACTAAACATTTGAAAGACTACATTTAGAAGAAAGTGATGTGTCATCATGTTAACTTGAAACAAACATTTTTTTAGTTCACACTTCTAATATTGCAAAAAAACAACAACGATGATTATGGGAAGGCATCATTGAAAGGGAAGTGGAGAATTGTAACGTACTTTCTATTAGAGTACAACAGACGATAAAAATATTGTTTAAGATGGTAGAATGTCTTTTGGTTCATTTATCTTAGGATTAGCAGTCAATTTGTTGGTTTGCGATACAAGTCACAACCGAAGTCCTATTGCTCATTTAACTTGGGAGAGAGAGGGTGTGACTTGTAATCAACAAATTGAAAATCAAAATGTGGTTAGTTTTTGTATTTCATAATTTCAATTGGTTATGTAGAATGCAATTGGAAACGTCATGAATATGAGAAAAAGAAGTGCTTGAACGATTTGCTCATAAATTTAACGCTTGTGGGTAGCAGCGGAACTAGGGTTTAAGACCAGGGATTCCCTTCTTTGTGCATTCATTTCACCCTATTTACTCCTTTATTTGAAAACCTTGAATTCTAAAGATGTTTCTCTAGCTCCCAAACTCAGCATTCCTCATCAGTTACCTTTCATCATACAGCATAGGTCATGTCACTTTCTCCTGTGTAGATACAGTTTACAATTTCAGTTAAGACAGTTCACTTTTTGTTATAAGTTTGTGTTAAGTTGGAAAAAAGGAGGGGAAAGTGTTGAGGTGATTTAAGGTATGTAGGGAAGTATTGTCAATTTGTCATGTGGAATAGTGAGAATTGGTACGAAAATGTGCCTGCTTCTTTGAAATTGTGAAATGACGACTACATAATATATCAATACATATATTTATGGTATTTTTTGTGCCATGGAGTGTTCCTATCCAACTTCCAATAAAGCCAATTTCCATCCATTGCAGTTCCTACTGTTGATATTCTTTTGTACGAGAAAGTTTCTGTTTAGTGCATGTCCCTCCCTAATTAGTGTTGATGAGAAGAATTACATCAACCTTTTTATTATTCAAAAATGCATGGATGTGCATCAAACGAACTGAGGTTTTATCCAATGCTGGATGGCCTTTTGCAATATTATAGAATGTCCATTTATTACAAGCAGAGGCTCTTGCAAACGGGGGAAGAAGCTACACAATCAGAGCCTTTCGAGAGAGAGTATCATGAAGCTTCATTAAATTGGTTGTACATAGTGTTTTATTTGTTAACTTCTAGACATCAAGCAGTTACTAACTCAAGCAATTGATCCTTAGATAAATAGAAAAGGTAGGATGATATTTGGTAATAAATAAGACTTCCATATGCAATATTAGATCCATATGGATGCCTAAGATTTTTTCATGATCTAACTGAATTTTATGCTTTTAACTTTCATGTTATCTATGCTTACTCCGTTCTTTTTCTTGTGAGCGCTCCTGTTTTATCTGCTTTAAATTTCCATGTGAGGTCTTCATCAAGTTTCAGACATCCTTCTATTAAAAATCGTGTTGGTAATTGTTGTCTAGGCCGTGCATATTCTGCCTTGGGAAGGAAAGATGATGCTGTAATGGTTTGGGAACAAGGTTACGAGTATGCTGTTTGTCAGTCTGCAGATTTGAAGCAGCTGCTCGAACTGGAAGAACTTTTGACAGCTGGAAAACAAAGCATGGCTGCTTTCCTTGATAAAGATGCTAAACAGTTATCTGAATGGTCTGTATCCAAACCTGAACCTGCTAATTCTGGCAAATCAAGCGAAACATTTAGTAACCATACTATGTCAAGTCTTGGTTATGAACCTTGTGGTGATTCGAGGGAGGTGATGCAGATAGAAAGCAAGCCAAATGAGATATCTTATGTACCCAACGGGTCTAGTAAGAAAGTTGAGGGTTCTAAAAGTTTTCATGTGGGTCCCAATGGAAATTGTGACAAACAACAAAATGGAACCTACAACCTATCTGTTGAATTTGGTGCGAGATCTGAAGCACGTAGTAGTACAAGTGACAGCCGCAACAAATCTGATCTGAGCACTACAATTTCATCAACCCCTGGTAAATCTAGTGATATACCTGAGATACGTGGCAACTGGAGTGATAAATCTGACATGCGTAGCGAACCAAGTAATGATGCTAAGGGGAACAAAAAGTTCTCTGTTACTAGGATTTCAAAAGCCAAGTCAATAAATGTTGATTTCCGACTATCACGAGGAATCGCTCAGGTTTCTCATATATATATATATGTTTCCTTATTTATCTTTTATATTTATTTAATGGTTCCTACAAAAGGTTAGCTACATGAAGGTTCCTGATTTAGTCCTTCACCTTTTTCATTCATTCATGACAATCTTTTGCAGGACATAGATTTTGGTTGGTACATGGGTGATCTTAGAGAAAGAACTCTTCTGCTTACCAGATTAAAGTACTTCCATAATTGTACAATACCACCATAATGTATTCATATTGATCTACTAGTTTTGCAAGTTAAAGTTGACTTTAGGGGATGATATCCCAATTTTTTTTAAACTCGGGAAACTCCCAAGAGGATGAAAATTTTGCCACCTGCTCATTTGATGCACCCCTGGTAATTCTTCGGGCATACGAATGGAGGAATTCCAACTGATGATCTCTAGACTATCATGAGAAAGACCAAACAACAAGCCTAGCTGCGTTGAGAACCCAATGCTAGAATAGAAACAAGCAACATTTCATTGCTTTGGGCAGCAACTTCAGTAGTCAGATCAATGTAACTGCGTAAAGTGGAATATTAGTACAAAATTTTCAAGTATAACAATAAAGGGACTCCTATAATAGGACACAATTTAATATGGCCATCTGAGATGGATAAAGGCGATCCATTAGAAGTGGTGTTAAGGATATTAGAGACCTAAGTGCATGGCTGAGTTCTGGCAAACCGTTACTATTGTTCATGCCCTCTGTGCATAGGAATGTGTTAATTTCATCGTCTTGCACTAACATATTTGTTTTCTGTAACTTTTATCCTCTTCCCTTCTTTATTACCTTGTACTTTTTGAAGGGTCTGGTTTGAAGTGAGCATTCTGTTATTTATAGGTGAATGAAGGGCAGTATGCTCGTGCCATATCCATCTTTGACCAGGTTAAACTTCTTTTGAACTTTATTCTATGTGCTATTTTTCTTACATATTTGAATATGGAATATGTTTCATGCTGCTCTTGCTAGAGATTCTCTTGGTCTAAAGGGTGGTTTTGGCTGCAGCTGTGATGTTATAAACATGTGAATTTTGATTCTCTTCTTGTATTTAGTAACTTTTTGTTTTCTCTCGTCTCTCCATTTTGACTTTTCTGTTATATGATTACAGATATTGAGAGAAGATCCTACTTACCCTGAAGCACTAATAGGCAGGGGAACGGCCTATGCATTTAAACGAGAACTCGATTCAGCTATTGCTGATTTTACAAAGGTACCCAAAGCTTCGAGATACATGGCATGTGTTTAATTGTCTCTTTCCCTTACATTATTTTTTTAGGCTATACAATCAAATCCATCAGCTGGGGAGGCATGGAAACGAAGAGGGCAGGCCCGGGCTGCTTTAGGAGAATCTGTTGAGGTCAGGGCCTCTTTTTACTCCATATTTACCTTTACCTTGATGCTCTTGATATGTAAGTGGCATAGTTGTAGTGGACTGCTCTCTGTGTGCACTTAAGCTACTGTCTCCTCTTATAAGTGCTGCATCTTGCATGAATGTATCACTTCCTTTATGTATATTGTTTAACTTTAACCCACATACGTTTGACATTTTTATCTAGGTTGTAACTCCATGCTGTTAACAATGTAAAGTATAAAAAATACCTTTTGACATTCTTTATTTTTTGCATCTTTTGGCTTTGCTTGTCAATTATTTTGAACCGTTTGGTCTCCCTTCTGATTAGGTTTGATGCTTTCTGGTTGTCTGAATCATCCTACTATTATGAGACGGTCTAAGCATCGATTGTCAAACTATGTGCTATATGCTGCATGGTCTTGAATAAGCATGTCTGGAAGCAGGCAGGCTTGTAAGTGCTATTAGTCTGTTTTACTTTTGAAGTTATAGATGTCTATTTGAAAGCATTCAGTACAGGAAGAAATTATATTTACTGCTGAAAGTGTTTCTATTAATTGTATATATATATACACACACACACACACACATCAAGCAAAGAGAAAATAACAAACTTCTATTTTCTAAGAATAAAACTCTAACTGATTATGCTAACCTGCATTTCTAGCTTCTATCTTTGACTATGCTAATCTGCATTTTATTATTATGTTTTGGTACTCTTTCTTTGACTATGCTAACCTGCATTTCTAGCTTCTATCTTTTATTTATCTATCTTTGTTACTTATTTCTTCTCTCTCCAACTTCTGTCAAATTCTCAGAACCATATTACAGTTGCAAAATCCTTTCTCTAAACCTTTTCTCAAGCCGGGGCTCTTCCAGGAAACATCTCTACTCTTTGGGGGTAGAGGTGAGATCTGTGTACATCCTACCCTCCCCAAGGCCTACTTCGTTTGAGATTCACTGGGTTCGTTCGGTTTAGAAACATGATCACCTTTAATTTATTATCATCAACATAAATGATCAACATAGCAATTTGCTTATGTTCCCGAAAGAAAAAGCCTGATTACTATGAGCTTGGATGTAACCAAGTTGCTTATTAGTTTGTGCAAATCGGTCAAACCATGCTTTTGGTGACTGTTTGAGGCTATTGAGGGTTTTTTAGACGACAAACTCTACCATTGCCATGAAAACCAGGTGGTAAGTCGATGTATACTTCTTATGTGAGTTTGCCATTGAGAAACACATTTTTGAAATCTAAGTGGTGGAGAGGTCAATCGAGGTTGGCAGGAAGAGATAATAGAACCTTCATGGTATTAATTTTGGCAACTAGTGCAAAGCTCTCCTGATAGTCGATGCCATATGTAGTGTAGCCCTTGGTGACTAGCCTGGCCTTGTACCGTTCAATAAAGCCATCACTCTTGTATGTAAGTGTAAAAACCATTTACAGTCAACCAGGGTTTTACCTTGTGGTCTGTCAACAATGTCCCATGTAGCATTTTTTTTTCTAGGGCATGAAGTTCTTCAAAAACTACAGCTTTCCGACTACTATCTTGAAGAATCTCTTGAATATATGTTGGTTCTTTGGTAACAGAAAGGTTGGATACAGGAGCTTTCACAGGATGAGATAATTGTGGGTAGCCTAGAGAATGTGATAGGATGTTGTGTGCAAGATCGATTACCTTTTCTGAGTGTTTTCTGAGTGCAACAGGAATGTCAAGGTCAGACCTAGAACTCAAATCTTGGGGCATTAAGGGCTTCAAATTATACACTTATGGTTTGCTGTAGATAATTGGAAACAACTCTATTTGGCGGGAATTTTGGGATTTATTGTCGTGCTCGGAAGTTTGGTAGCTGGTATAGTTGCAAGTGGCAGAGAAGGAATAGCGCTTAAGTGGTGATTTGTTGGAACTGATGGAGGACTTTGTGGATGGGCTGATAAAATATATCTGAAGTATTTGAATTTTCTTGGTGTTGCAGAATTAAGTCGGGATTTGTTGGAGATATTTATGGTAGTGAATCTGTTGAAGGAATTGTTCATCCAAAAAATTCCCAAATCTGGGCACTTAATTGAAAATTACAATTACTTGGAAGAAGAAATGGATCTGAAAGATTCTCTTATTTAAATTAGGAGTGTGATAAGATTTATTTTCAGAAATGTAACATCACGTGAAACAAAGTAGTTTTCTTTTTCAGGAAAATAGCAAATTCTTAGAGGATGAATAACCTAAAAAACACAGTTTATGTGTCTTGGATCAAATTCTGATATTATGAATCTATGATCATGAACATGGACAAACAGGACATATAAAAATCACAAAGTCAATTGTGGGTATTTACACAAGATTACACGCATACATGAAAAACTATAAGGTCTTGGATTTTATTGTAGTGCACATGTATCCTAATATTGTATTAATTGGAATTACTTACCATAAATTACATACCACCAACTATACGTACCATGGCGCTGTAAACTGTAAATTGGGTAAGATTCTGTACTGTACCAATGTGTATCAACTACACATACCCACACCTATAGCACAGGAGAATGTCTATAGTAGAATTGGGTGACATTGCTTGAGACGGCTTCTTGCTTCATTTGTTATCCAAGTATTTTGTGATTTTAGAAACAGTCATCAATAAAAAATCATAAGAGCAAGCGGTGTTTCTGAAGGCTATTTGAAACCAACGTCCTTGTGCATCACTATAGCTTATTGCTTGTTCTTATTAATGTTGTTTCATGTATGCCTCTGGTATCTAATATAGTTATTGTACAGGCTATTGCAGATTTGACCAAGTCCTTAGAATTTGAGCCTGACTCGGCTGATATATTACATGAAAGGGGTATGTTGCATGACTTACTTCAATTTTTAACTTTATCCTTGGACGCATGTAGTATACAAGGGAAAAAAAAAATACTCCGAACAGCACCAAATATAGTATGACTTTTGATACTGGTGTGGTGTTGGAGTTTATGTTTTTAGCACATAGTTCCTTTAAAGTTGTATTGAAAGGATCTTTTTTAGTTACTTCGAGTCATTGAGATCCATCTATTGACATTTACTCACACATCAACTGCCAACACATGCATCTGACTAGATTTGAACCCCAACCTTGTGTTTTACATGGCAAAGGTTAGTACTGTTGGTTGAAAGGCCTCTTGATATCCAAAGAATTTTGTATATTTTACCATCTGATTATTGAAGTCCAATTCACATGTCTAAAGATGCGTTTTTCCATCTTCTGTAGTTTTTCCTTCTGTTAGTGATAGTCTTGCTGGTTTCAACAGTATTTCCATTGTACTAACATTGAAACTGATGCAGGAATTGTTAATTTTAAGCTTAAGGATTTCTATGCTGCCACTGAGGACCTGTCTGCATGTGTAAAGCTAGACAAGGATAATAAATCAGCTTACACATACTTGGTTAGTGCATGGCATAGGACATTCACATTCTAACTCAGTGAATTTTTTACATTCTGTTTTTGTATTACAAATATGCTGATTGTAAAGACTTCCAGGGACTGGCACTGTCATCAGTTGGTGAGTACAAGAAGGCTGAGGAAGCGCATATGAAAGCAATTCAAGTTGACCAAAAATTTCTTGAGGCATGGGGTCATTTGGCTCAGGTATTAACTAAGATGCTGAATCACTTTATTTTCTTATACCAGATTGCAGTTAGGTGGGGACCTGGAAGCATCCCTTCCCGTTGTATGGTTTCTCTTAGCAACAGATTCTATGCTGTTTAAATCATCATTCTTTAGCTACTTACCCCTGTAAGTAGCTTTAAATGTGCTAAAGTGTTGATGTTTGATCTTTTATTAGTTTTATCAAGATTTGGCAAATTCAGAAAAAGCTTTAGATTGCCTTCAACAGGTTTTGCAAATTGATGCGAGGTAAACATTCCATCTGCATTAACCTTAATGGTGATAAACAAAAATTTGGATGCACTTTTTTCCTGAAATCACTGTTGAAAGTTATAACGATTTCAGTGACTTCTCGCTCTTCTCTGATGATACAAGTTCTTAAATAGGTTTGCTAAGGGATATCACTTGCGTGGGCTACTTCTTCATGCTATGGGAGATCACAGGTGAGCCCCCCCCCCCCCCCCCCCCCCCAAAAAAAAAAAGAAAAAAGTTTTGAGGAAGACATCGAATACTGATTAATATTCAAACCAGCTTTTAATGCCAGCATTCAACTTCCAACTCTATGATTGAAATGATATATAAGTTGAGTGAAAGGGTCAAGTCTCCATATGGTTTTATGATGCCTATCCCGTTGTACAAATACTGAATAGTAAGTACTGGTTTATATGGTTGCATGGCTTCCATTGCAAGAAGGGTGCAACAAGTTCATATGAACAGTAACAGAAAGTAAGGCACTGTTTCTCCGCTAGACATAATCCATTTCAAGTAGAAGTACAAAGTTGTGTGCTTGGGAATCAGTTATCATAATGTGTCTGCAGAGTGGTAGAAAAGTTTTCAGTTTTTTTATACTTAGAAAACTGGTCTTGCAAATTTAAAACTCAAAGCATTTTGAGATAGAGCAGTAGTTGCTAAACTAATACTATCTGGACATGTTATTTCTGTTCGTGTAGCTTGATTTTTTATGATTTTAGTAACATTTCCATCTAAATACACCAGAAACAAGGGTGTTCTTTGAGAGAATCCTGAATTTCAGCATTTACTCTAGAGGACAGATGCTTAAGTATACTGGTATGAACTAGATAAGGGGGAATGAACTTAATGAAATGCAATGGATAACAAAAGATTGGACCTTGAAGACTACATCTAAGGAACAGTGAAGCACTAATACGTAATGCTTGATAACAGAAGGGATATATTAATATGTAGAATACAGTAGCTGTACTTAGAACTTTGCACAATCAACAAATGAATGAAAAAAGGAACAACAAAATAATTGGTTGCCTAGCATGACCTAGAAAGAGGCTTTAATCTAATATAAAGTGGGAGTGTAGTGCTGGATGCATTAAGGGGCGCTTACTCAGAAGTGCAGTAGTGCACACCTGGTTCCTAATGAGTTTCAATTGGGATGTTTGGGTTCATGCTGTCTTTTTGCTTGAAGTTGAGACACATGGTGGGCCCATTGCCCCAATTGGAGATAAACCGAGATACGCTTATTTGGGGAAATCTACTTAAAAATTTATCCACCCAACAATTAGCCAAATAAATCATAATAAGACAAACTGCCGCCTGAGAAGCTAGCCGCCTGAGAAGCTAGACCGAAGATGAATTTCACATGCTTTCCCTAAACAATCCACTGGCTGCGTTTATTCAAGAACCTAGCAACCTAGGTGATCAGATGATGAAGTTTACTGTCTTGGTCTCTTAACGTGGCAAACCCTTTCAACTCGTCATTCCGACTTTATGCTCCCTGAAAACATGCAAAATTACTGGCAAATATGAGACTTGAATAGAATGAGCAATTTCTAGTTCAAATAGGTAGGTTTGAATAGAGGAGGATCAGCCAAGCACCAATGCTTGTTGGGTTTATGAAGTTTATAACTGAAGGTCTAGGAGCAGACACGGACATCTCATATTTTTATCAGAAGTTATATATGAAAATACTTCTTGAAATATGAAAGTTTAAGTATTCTCAAATATACACACTAACCTATCTAACGTTATGCTTACAAAAAGAGAGACAGTATGTGAGAAGTAAAATGATATCAAATGTGTGTTGGTCAATTTAGTTGTGAGTTTGTTACGTATTCCCTTAATGTTATGCTGTTTGCTTCTTCAATTATCCTTGGTTAATCTTTCTAAACTATTGTTGCAGGAATGCGATCAAAGACTTATCAATTGGGCTTAGCATTGAAAGGTCAAACATAGAGTGTCTGTATCTGCGGGCTTCTTGCCACCATGCTGTTGGAGAATATAAAGAAGCTGTATGATATACTGTTTATTTGTTCCTGTCACCAATTTTTTTTCTACAGGTGTTGTATAGGCATCTTATTCCTTTTTGTATATCTATTTTGTGATGATCTTTAGTTTATGCAACAGGTAAAGGATTATGATGCCGCGTTGGATTTGGAGCTTGACTCGATGGACAAATTTGTGCTTCAATGTCTGGCCTTCTATCAGGTTTTTATCTTCTCTATTTTCGTTCTTTTAAGCCTACGTACAGCTATTTGTTATGTTATACACTTATATGTTGCATGCAAATAAGGTAGTTGGTTCACATTTTCACATAAAGTTCCCACATCAGATGTTCACTCACTGTAAACAATATGAAACTGATAAATACTAAAGTCAGCTTATATTACCTGGCATCTGTCTGTGTTTATTCATTTGCTATTTGCAACATAGCATGTGCAACTATTTGTTGGAACAAATTAATGCGATAGAAAATTTGATAGAATCATAGAACTTATGATTTGTCTATGATATGATTCACTATTCGATTACCATGACCAAAACAATGATTAATTAATTTTAAATTCTCATGCAGAAAGAAATTGCCTTGTATACCTCTGCGAAGATCAATAGTGAATTTTGCTGGTTTGATATAGATGGCGACATCGACCCCCTGTTTAAGGTATGTGTGAACATTTCTAGTTTTAGCATACAATATATTTGTCTTTCCTTTGAACTTGAATACTTTCTTATGATCTTGATTAATTAATCTTTTAAAGGCATCCATTAATTTTCCATTGTCTTAATCTGGCTACTCTTTGATGATAGGAACTAGTGGTGTACCCGTGCATTGCTCGGGTACAACTTCTTATAAGTAATAATAAAGGGTATTATTGATCATTCAAAAGTAATTTTCCTTCAACCCTCCCTATTGAAGAAAATGGCATGTTGATTTTTGTATGTCAAATTATTGTAATGTAGATTTGCTATTGTCGTTTAATTGTTCAGCCCAGTCATAGATTAGTAGTCATTGTGCATGGTATCCTTTGTACATTATTTTCATCTTTGTGCAATAAGATATATTATAAACAGCTTTAGCCTGTTGCACAGTTGTTTCGGAAGATATGGGGTGTATTCTCTTTGTTTTTTGTAGTTGCTTTCTTTCTAAAGAATGTGATTATAATAGCTCTATTCCTGGTAGTTCCTCCATGGTTGATTCTGCCATAGTGGACTACCAGAAATCTTCCCCAGGTATAATCAAACCAAACACACCCAGTATATTCACTTGGAAGTAAGGTCTGGGAGGGTAGGATGTTTGCAGATGTTACCGCTATCCTACGGAGTACAAATGCTGTTTCTGTGAAGCAAATTATTCCAGAAGTATGTCTATTAATTAGACCCTTCATGCTACAAAGTAATGCAAAGAATTGGGAACCTATGTGCCAGGAATTAAAGGTTGTAGGATTATAGATGAGCCTAAAAAAGGAGTCTTAAATCGTAATGTAACCATTTGAGGCACTGTCTTCGCATGAAAGGCAGCTGGATTCTAATTAGACTGTATAATTTCTAAATTGTCGAGTGGGTATAGTGTGTGGATATCAGAAAATTCTTCGCGATTTCTTCAATATGAACGTTTAATCTTCGGCAAGACTGGTTGCTGCTGCACAGATCTTTATTCCCTGAGTATGACCAATTCAAGCTAGTTAAATGAAGAGAATATGCAGCTCAGGGTTCTTTCTCTCCTCTTTACCTGTGTTTACCGAGTGTATTTTTTACAAAGTACCCCTCTTTGCTTTGTTGCATGTTTGATCATTAATTACCGTGCATCTCTGGATACTGAGTGATTTTTTTGAACATTCATGTGGAAGTTATCCTTTTTCTGCTTCATAGCCCAGTTACCCTGTTTTTGTTCTCCTTTTTTTCTTAATATTTTGCAATTTGGTTGAAGGTGGTGTACCTAATTTTTAATTTTTACAGGAATACTGGTGCAAAAGATTGCATCCCAAAAATGTATGTGAAAAAGTTTACAGGCAGCCTCCTCTAAGAAAAGCGAAGTTGAGGAAGCAAGATTTTACTTTAACTAAACCAAAGATTGCACTTCTGCATGCTGCTGATCGTATCGGAAAAACAATCCAGTATCATTGCTCAGGCTTCTTGGCCAATAGGCGTCAGGTGATCTATGACTACCTATATCATAAATTAAGGGAACCTATCTGTTGTCATTCGTGTGCAACTTCGAATTGAATTGCATTTTTTTTTTGATTAACCTGGATATCCAACCCGCTATGCGAGCTGATTAATCCCAGGGCGACCACCTGCTTTGCAGATAGCCCGGAATCGCATTTGAATCTCCGTGGCCACAAGGGGATTTTTATTTCTCCTTGGATTTGAACCTGGGACCTCCTGGTGCTTTTGACCTTTGGAGCCAAGCTCAAACCAATGAGGCACCACCCTTGTGTTCCTATTCTTACTATCTAGTAACTTCCAGTCAACATAGTGGCTAAAGTGAACTGGTTGCATGAATCCTTTATTTTTCTTAGTATGTATTTGCAAATAGATAAACAAATTTGCATGTCCACTGGTCCTGTTTCTTATCCATATTCTTATTAAAACTGTGATTGTCTTTTTTTCACACATTCCACTTGAGACTTTTGAATAGTGTAGGGGAGTGCACATTTGTTTAACATCCTTGACTTTGGCATGTTTGTTTCCGACCCTGGTAGTTGTCAAGCATCTGATGTCTTTTTCCTCAAGGTGTATTGAGCACATTCATGATTTTACTGAAAGTTGATCAAGTATAGGTTTATAACTCTGGATGGTATAGTTAATTAAGATCCAAATAAAAAATATGCCGTCTTTTAACTGGCTGTTCTTTGTCAAAACTACCCAAGACCTATAGGTTCACAGTCGTGAAGATTGTTACTTTCTACAAGAAAAGGCACTGTTTAGCCATACATTAGTAGAAGTAATTTCGGAGTTAGCCTAATGCTTCTTATTTGAGCATAGAACAATGAGTGGTCAGCTTATCAATTATAATCTAGTTAAGTCATAAGAAATGTTCTTGGCCTGCTGAAGATGTTAAGCACCCTGAGGCTGTAATAAAGCTCTATTCGCATCTTACTTAATATTTCAGTTTTGTTCTTTTTCTTCTCCTGTAGTAAAATTAATGTGCATATGCACTAAACGAACAGAAGTATTTTTGGGTAGTCATCAAAGTTGTATCGAACATAGTACATATGTCCAGAACATTTGAAAAGTGAATTATAGAATCAAGAACAGAATAGAAAGCTGGTCCTAAAGCATAGCGTACCAGCCTTTCTGTACTCGTGATTTTTCAACTTTGGACTTCTTTAACTTATGATTACTTACTGTAGATCTGCAGTGGGGATCATGGTACACTTCCATTCTGGGATACCAAATTTAGTGATAAAAGGCTTCCATTTAGTTCTACATTTAGTAACACCGGTTACTATGATACAAAAAAGGGATCATGAAGCTTCACGAGCTATACATCCAGTGGCTTTTCACCCAACTGGCACAAACCGTGTCTCTTGAACTAATAGGGTGGGTTCAAGATTTGCTGCTAATAGGGTGTGTATTTTTTTGACTGTTTCAAAAAAGAAGTAAAGGAAACCTTCACGACCTATACATTTATATTTCTTGGAAAATCACATTGAGAGGCACTTATTGCTTTCATCTGGGATAAAGCAGTAAAACTTAGGTTTTAAGAAAACGAGCTACTACATAAAGCTACCCTGACATACCACGTCTTAGACTAAGCAGATTAGGGCAGTTCGGTACCTGTTCCAGAAACCCAAAGACTCATGATGCAAGGAACAGCAGCTCAAACTAACCTGCCATTGAGTAGCCCATAATCCTCTTCATCTCGTGTGCACTTGTATTGAGAAGAAACATTGGGCTAGGGTAACAGGGGTAGAAGGTCTCTGTTCCTCATTCTATGCCTATCTGAAAACATTCCGACTGTCTGATATATGGGAATCCTAGAACCCCAGCATGCATGAGGTTTACTGTTCATTAGTTATTTGAACACACTGCATCTCTGTCCCTCATTTTAGTTCTCAAGCTCTGAGTATAATGCCATTCCAAGTCTTGAATTTACAGTGTGGTGTTGTTCTTTTCAACTTTTCTCTACACATTATCCTTGTTTTGTTTGACGATATTAAGTCTGTCTGCATATACCAGCATCGCATGGCTGGCTTAGCTGCTATTGAGATTGCGCAAAAGGTGTCTAAGGTTTGGCGTTCACTGCAATCTGAATGGAGGTTTTCTACTAAGAATACATCAAAAAGCGGAAAGAGACCCCGAAGAAAAGAGAAGATCATCATTCCTAGCCATAACAGAGGCGGAGTTGGTTGTAGTACTAGCAGTTACTCCGAAGCATCGACTTCGAGTGCCTTGGAAGAGAAGTCATCAGGACGATCTGTTTTCTCATGGCTTCATCTTTACTCAATGGCCGTCAAATGGAGACAGATATCTGAACCCTGTGACCCTGTTGTGTGGGTCAACAAATTAAGGTATTTCATTTTCCATGTTATCTTATCACGAACAGAGTCGTTAAAATACAGATGTTAGGGTATGATGCATCTTTGAACATAGTTATAGATGCCCCAAGAGAGTGAAGGGATCTATAGCTAGTGTCATGTCTGTTTCTTGTAAACCAGGCATGTGGCAATAGTATGACATCGCATGAAGTATATAAACATTTGCTACCATATCAAAGTACAGATGTGATGATATTGTTGTTGTCGATAGTTTTAAATGAGAAAACGAACAAAGAAATAATTAAAAATCCTGCTAAAATATTAAATAGGTTCTGGCGTTAAAATATAACAGTTCTAATTATTTCTCCTTTTTTGTAATATTTTTATAGACTTTTGGCATATATAGAGAATGCTACATGAAATGATACAAACAGTAACTCTTCACCAACAACAAAATGGCATAGTCTGAGAATTTTTAAATAGATGTCAAGGAGGCAAGGACAAAGAAGCATGTGTTGATTGACTAGGATATCATCTTCTATCTTTTTCTATGGTTTTGTACTATTCCTGGCTTTTAGTACTCACGCACCTTTTCCTTTTTGTGCAAACCAAGCGAGGAGTTCAATTCTGGATTTGGATCTCACACACCTCTTATTCTTGGGCAAACTAAAGTTATTCGCTACTATCCACATTTTCAAAGGTATAATCACTTTGCCTGCACCTGTGACTTCCCTTGACAGTATGCTCATTGTTTGTCAATCCTGCAGAACATTAGATGTTGCTAAGGCAGTCATGAAGGAAAATGGGTTTGTGTGTAATGCAGCAGATGCGGCCATTGATTTATCAAAAGATGGAAAATTAGAAGAAGTGAGTTGTACTTTCCTAAAATTTAATAAATATATCTTGGTACATTCTCATGCTCAAACATTATGATCGGGAACATGTATGCTCTGGAACTGAAGGTTTGGAAGAAAGGAGGGTCGTAAGTTTTATGATTAACTACCGTCCCTCCTAGCTTTGAGCAGCAACAATTTTACCTCATGCATAAAACCTTACCACTTGTCAAATTCTTATGTTCTGCTTTATGTAATTGTCGTAAATTAGACATGTTTATGTCTTGCAACTTTTGCCTTTCGAATGACATGCCTAGGGCACATATGATACTATTAGATAATCTTTGATTTATACTTACAGATTTTGAAAGCCGAGTCATGCTCCGATCTGTATAAAGTTGTTGGCGAGGATTTCTGGTTGGCTACTTGGTGCAAGAGTACAGCATTTGAGGGGTAAGACCCATAGCAAAGTTTAGATCTATTAATTTTCATGAGTATGTGACTGCACATTTTTCATTCTTGGGCGACAGTAAAATTAATATTGCTCATGTTATGCTTTTGTTCTGTTTTTCATCTTAATTCTTTCAGGAGACGCCTGGAAGGAACAAGGATCACTCTAGTTAAAACGTAATTTGTACACCCCTAAATTGCTAATGTAGTGAGCTCTATCTTTCTTTTTTCTCATCCAAGTTTAAGTTGCATGTTTATGCCACCTCAGGGGAGAACGTGGATTTGACTTTGCAATTCGAACACCGTGTACACCTGCTAGATGGGAAGATTTTGATGCAGAAATGGCGTCAGCTTGGGAGGTATGCATTCTGAAATATATCTTTTCAATCTGTTTGGGCCTAAATCTTGATTTTCCTAAACTAGTTTTTAATGCTTCAACATTGTTGACCCTGTTGATCTCGTTGAAATAATAACTTTTTAACAATATCAAGCTTTGCCAAGGGACCACCAGCTGACAGCATCTAAAGTGAGAGTTTTTATATAATTTGATTAATCCATATTTTGCGGCTTTTAGACCTCACTCTTGATTATTTGATTTCATCCCCTTACATAACGAAGCACAATAGTTTACGGTTTAAGTCTTTAAAAAACATTTTCTTTATGAAAGTCGATTACCAGCAAATATTAAAGTGGCTTGTGATATAGTCTCTTATTCAGACACAACACAATTTTAGATACTTAAATCATTATATAAACGTTCATTCACAAAAATACAGAGGTTTTCAGCTTAAGATATCATCTTGAACCTAGTTTAACATATGCCCCTTACCCGTTTTCATATTTGATTTTGAGAAGATAGCAATTTTCCCTGTTCTGGTATCATTTTTGTTTTTACCTATGTCCCAAAAGAAGTCTACTTTTGATTAGAGATTGAACCTAACACCTTTCAAGTTTAACTTTGTAGTTTTTCTCATCTCCAACATCTTTTCATTCTGATGCTGCATATATATATATATATATATATATGCGATAGGTTGTATTTGAAACAAACTCTCTCTCTCTCTCTCTCTCTATATATATATATATATATATAGTTACTTGTGGTTGGCATTCTATTAAATGTTTTAAAATTGGATGTTGAAAGATAACTCCTTTTAACACTCAGATAGTCAAATTACACTTGCTTCGGACAGAAGTATTATAGTAGCAATGCTTTTGAAAATTAATGCAAATGAATTGACAGGTATTGTGTAATTCCTATTGTGGGGAGACATATGGATCAAATGATTTTGGTACGCTTGAAAATGTCAGAGAAGCAATCTTAAGGATGACCTACTATTGGTAAAAACATTTAATCCTCAATTTACCGTACATTTAACTTCTTGAGCAGTTTAATATTCAAAATCATAGACCAATTGTTGATATTTGCTGCCTCTCAGGTACAACTTCATGCCACTTTCGAGAGGCTCTGCTGCTGTGGGTTTTACAGTCATGCTTGGACTGCTTCTGGCTGCTAATATGGAGTTCGCTGGGAGCATTCCAGAAGGCCGTCAAGTCGATTGGGATGCCATTCTGAGTTTGGAGCCAAAAACCTTCATGGAATCGGTCAAGAGTTGGTTGTATCCATCTCTGAAGGTCTCTACAACGTGGAAAGACATCCCAGATGTAACGTCAACTCTCGAGACCACCGGTTCAGTTGTTGCAGCTCTTAGCTCCTTCTCTGGATAACATACAGTTTTGATAAAAAGGTTCGTAAGTTGCACCTTTCTGTCCGATGAATATCTTAAATGAGTTCTCTTAAAACGGTCAGACCCTTCCTAGAAACAAGCCAGCGATTGACTTTCGAGTCTTAAATGAATCACTCCACCGAGTCTAATGAAAAATTGCAGCATTTCTTTTCTGGGCAAGTTTTTATTCTAAAAGATTACTCGACTGCCATTGTCATCATCAAGAGTTGATATGCTTTTGGCCTGCAAGCTTCCTGAATTTTTATTATCATATGATGTTTCAAATATTTCTCCTAAACCATCTGTGGGATCTACAGGTTTCACCATTTCGTTTGTATTCATGTTTTACAGAGTTGTAACATCTTGATGTTTAGTTAAAATCATATCATTCTGCAGGATGATTGAGCAAGAGGGCAACTGTTACTTTGTGATATTCGATAGTGGAATAGAGAAACCGAGGCTTGATTTGATTTTCTTTTACGGAGTTGTCGAGTTTCTGTTTGTATTCATTTGCTTGTAACCATGTATTTCAGAAATGCAGTTTATAGGGTTTTTCTTCTCAGTTTATGTTATTTCAGTTGAAATCAAGTCTTTTCTGGTTATGATTTTGCTTTATACAAATTAGCTTGTTAGGATTACTGGTGAAGTTGTGATGGTACTTGTGTTCTATCTTTAAAATAAACACCCACAATATTTTTTACTTTCTTTTTAAGTAGTTGGTTTTTCTTTTCTCCAAAGCCTTTGTGGTCATGGAGGTTTATCACAATAAGTCGTTTGTGGTTGCCTAATGAATTAGTCAATATGAGTAAGTTGTCCGGGATATCTATTGTTATCTGAAAAAGGATATACATTAGATGTTGCAAAATGCATATATACGTGTTAAAATGTAATGCATTGATATAACAATGATGATTAATTCGGTTTATGCCAGTTCGGGTCACGTTTTGAGCCCTCAGTTGTGGTTTATTGCGAGATCGAGTCATGTTGTCTGGTGAGGTATTAAAAGAAAAAATGGGAATGAGAAGGAAAATATAAAAGTAAAAAAAAAAAAAACCTGTTTATTCAATTTGGCAATGATGTTCAAAACAAATTTCATATAATTACAAAGTGGCTAAACTAAATTTCTATGAATAAATATCAAGTCTTGTAACATGAATATAACCCCTTAATTGTAAAATATTAACATCTTATCATTGTTTTAGAATGGATACTCATTGAACAAATCTGAAGTTTTAGACTTAAAATGATACATTAACAAATACGAAAGTGAATGAGCGCTTTAGAATGATTTTTAACTTGTGTATCCTTGATTATTTTGCAAAAAGAATTTAGATAGACTAAAAAATATAACCTTTTCTGTCACGTGGTTATTTATGATAATAAATGATAACCAACCTTTGGGGAATTTTCCGCAATGGGCGAAAGCTTGACAGAGTAATATCGTCGAATTGTAATCTCTAATAAAAATATAACTCCATGAACAAAAACTCTTAATAAATCTTGTTTATTTTCGGTTCTTGTCTTATTTCCTTTTGATATCAAATAGATGGGTTTAAACATCTCCAAAATAGATTTTTTTTTTTTAAAAACATTAAAAATCAGAATTCCTTAAAAATATATAAATAATAGTACAATTAATTCTATTAGTGGAAACAATAAAAAGAAATTGTCTTAGAAATTATTATAAAGAGTGATACAAATTTAAAGTTTTTTAATTTCTATTCTCCCTTTTCTCAATTTTATATAAAGTTTTGAAAAAACTGTTACAAAAAAATGTGGGTTAAAAATCTATTTTTTTCTATCGTAAAGAAATGTGTTTGGAGATACTCTCATGTAGTGACGGATCCAGGAAATTAATGGGGTGGGGGCATGTTGGATGGGACTTGGGGGAGGCAAACATACGACCATATGAGACTGGAGGGGAAACCATGTAAGATAAGAGTAAAAATAGAAAATTTAAGCTAGTCAGCAAATGTTTTTGGTCTTTGACTGTAAGCCTTTCCCCCGGTCCCTGCTCTAATGACTCATTTTTGTCAAATTAATGTTATACTTCTTTACTCTTATTAAATATTTAGAGTAAACACCACTTTTGGTTGTCGCACTTCGCAAAAGAAACCGAAAATTGTTCACTACGTGCTTTAAAAAGTTCACAAATATTATTGTTTTATATGCTTTGAAAATGACTTTCAGGTTTGACACTGTTAATAACTTTTTATTAAGCACAAGATATTTTTGTTGTTTTACCTATTTCTATGCATACATACACACACACACACACACACACACACACATATATATATATATATATATAGGGTTGGGTTCACGTGAGACCAACGGTTTTTCGTGAGACCCATGAGACCAATTTATGCTCATTGATTAACTTTATAAGCTAATGATCTAATGGTCTAAAGTTGTACGGTGACAATTTTGTAATTATTAAGAAGTCTCGTGGTAATTTTGTGATGATGAATGTTGAGATTGTAGATCTAATCCAAGGGTTGAGAATTGGTCTTACAGGTCTCATGAAAAAGCCTTGGTCTCATATGATCCCAAGTCTATATATATATATATATATATATATATATATATATATATATATATATATAAAGGCTCAAACGGAAACTCCTGTGATTTATGAGAATGTGAGAACAACCTCTAAGCCAAAAATTGTGTTTATATATATATATATATATATATATATATATATATAAAGGCTCAAACGGAAACTCCTGTAATTTATGAGAATGTGAGAACAACCTCTAAGCCAAAAATTGTGTTTAGAATCACATTTTAAAAGAAGCTAAAAGTATTTTTCAAACTTAAATAAATAGTAAAACAATTTCAAGAAATATTCAGAAGACATGGAAGAATAAAATTAAAAATTGACATTTGAAACAGAGAATGTCAATTTTGAATTTGGTCTCTGGTGTTTGTCTTTTTCAACCAAAATGGTTCCTAATCTTAATTTACTACAAATCTATTCCCTAATCTTTGTAAGATCTTTCTGAATATCATTCCTCCCATTAACGATACTTAAACTCATTTGTTAACTTCAAGGGGTAAATTTTGTTTTTAACTCCAATGTACCCTTTCTCCAATTGAAGTTGGCATAAAATCTTAACACCCGTCACTGGAACAATAAATTTACCAAAACATACAAAATGGATTTATAATAAATAAAGAATAATGACCATTTTTAATGAAAATCTAGTCTAAAATTAAGTTAAAAATCTTATATTTGATTAAAAAAAATAAAGGGTCATTTACCCAAATGTTTACCGATAAGATTAAACACTATCACTTAAATTATCAGATAAGATTTTGGTTCATTAAAATGACACCGTATATGACAATTTACCTTATAAGACGGACCGGTTAAGAGTCGTCATTCTCACTTATCGGGTAAAATTCTCAGTCTTTACCATATTCATCCGGTAAAATAAGTGATCCGATAAATACTTACGAAGTAATAATAAATTGCCTTGATCAAATTATCATAAATATTTAAATTAAAATGCATAACATTATCATATCTTTCTCACCCCACCTAAGATATCTTTTTTGTAATTAAATAAATGGAAGGATAATCAAAAACCAGAGATCTTGTCTCCAAAGTCCAAAACACACCTATTACTTCATGAAAATGCTTTAATATGACTGATGTAAATCAATTCAACAAATCAAAAAATCTTTCTGTTATTAACATAATTTAAATATTCCTAAAAACGATTTCTATATACGAAATTCTTATTATATTTTAAAGGTATATGTATGATATTTAATTCGTAATCAAACCAATTAATATGTACAATAAAAAAATGATGATGGTTATGAAGACAAATGAGTAATGAAACAACTGCAAATGGAATGAGAAAGCTTCATATGCTGATAGTACGATAATGAAGGGGTATATTTTGCAAACTAATTTAAACCTCAAGGTTTGTATTGCAATTAATTTTATACCTTTCCACAATCATTGATAGCCACACAACCCCAACGTCTATACAAACTGTCGGTGCCAGCTGCCAATGACTACCAAAAAGGCGGCCAAATAGTTGTTGGAAAGAATCTTCGATTTTGAATTTATTTTATTAATCTGAATATCTAATCCGTTTTACGTAACTAATTTTAGAATAATCATCTGTTTTGCAAATAATTCAAAATCATCATGACTTATTAAAAAACTTAACCTCAATGACTTAATTCCACGCTAATTACGTTGTATAAATGACTTGTTAAAAAACCTAACCCTCAATTTCACATGGCAACGCGGGTCCCTTTAATAATAACTGTCTCTGTGTGTGTGTGTTACAGTCTTCAATTAGCTAATCAAAATTTTGTATCTATACGTGGTGGTGTGGGCCCCTCCCCATTCTTCAACCCTAACGGCTACTTATATCTCACCTCGCCGCCTTATTCTTTTCATCCCTTTCTTCCGATTCCCGATTCCGATTTGCTTTTCTTTCTCTTTTGAAAAAAAATTCATATCATGGACCGGAGAAATGCGCTTGTTCTCGCGCTAATGTGCGTCATTGTGGCTGCCGTCGGAGGTCAAGCTCCGGCTGCTTCACCCAAGCAAGCTCCACCGTCAACCGTCACTACTCCTGCTGCTTCACCCAAGCAATCGATTGTCACTACTCCTACTGCCTCACCTACCAAGGCCATTGCTCCACCGACGAAAGCACCGGTTTCCACACCAGTACTTACGCCTCCGGAAATGGCTCCTCTTGCAGCGCCACCGACAATTTCTGTTCCTCCTCCTGCGAAGACGCCGGTGAGCTCACCACCTGCTCCAGTTCCGGTTAATTCTCCATCTCCGGTGGTTGAATCTCCACCAGTTCCGGAACCTGTTGCTGCTCCTCCGGCTGACTCTGCTCCAACAGCTGCCGAAGTTCCTGCTCCTGCGCCTAGCAAGAAGAAGACCAAGGGTAAGAAGCATAGCGCATCGTCGCCGGCGCCTACACCGGAGATGATGGGACCTCCTGCTCCTCCTAGTGAAGCTCCTGGACCTAGCGACTCTCTCTCTCCCGGTCCGTCAGCCGCCATTGCCGATGAGGTATGAGATTTCCGCTTGCATTCCTTCAGTTATTGAATTCTAAATCAGAATCATGAACAACCATAGCCGATCTGCATCATTCATAAATATGTTGTTAATTGATGGATTAAGCTTTAACAAATGCATAGATTCATCTAGATCTGATCTGACCACTTTTCATTCTATAATCAATTAAATTTGTCCGCTAGCTTTCCATCGGGATTATATACATAGTGATTGATGCAACTAAGATTACACTGAAAGTGAAGTACAAAAACAAGGGGAACCGACAAGTTTTCCCATGCTCACTTTAATTACTCAATATTATATTATATATCATTAAATTAATTTTACATTTTTAATATATGAATTAATCTGATTCTAATATAAAAAAGGATACATACGATATTATATATGAAAAGCATCATACATTAAAAAAAAAAAAAAAAAAAGGTTACATTTAGGTTAATTGTGGTTGTTGATTTATTTTGCAGAACGGAGCAGAGAGATTAAAGGGCGTGCAGATGGTGGTCGGAAGTTTGGTGTTGGGATGGGCCGTTTTCAGCACCCTTTAGGTTTAGGGTGTAGGCTCCTTTTATTTTTTCTTTCATTTATTTTATTGCATTTTTATAATTTATATTTTGTCGTTTATTACTCCATTTATATATAGAATTAAATTCGAGGCTTCGTCTGAATGCCATTATGTCTATTTTGTCTTTTCTCTTTTGCTTTCTTTTATTAGAGTTTTAATTTCAAATAATAACTTTTATTTCATAAATTCTGTTTTATTTCTTCTTTAAAACATTGTTGGAACAAATTTTAAGTTTTTTCTATTAATAAACACAGCCTTAAAATAGTGTTATTTTTGTAATCCAAAAAAATGATTTTGCAATCATATGATTAAACAAAGAATCCAGTCGTGTTTTCTTGTTATAAAGCATCTTATTACGATATGTCCAAATCACCCATATCGTTGACAAAACAACTGCATCGAATAGTTTTCACTTCACCACGTTAAGAATTGACCAACTCAACCATTTTAGCAATTTTTTTACGGATGAGAAGTTGTGATTTGAAAACCCCCATCAAATCGCCACTTTTCTCCAAAGAGAGAAGGCCAATTGACAATCAACAAACACGTGATCTGAAAATTCTGGAAATCACCAGGCACGGAAGCATAATAGTGAATCCAAATCAATACCTTTATGATCCAATTTCAAATGAGTAGGAATACGATCTCCGACTACACTCCAACCCAACACGTTAACATTGATCGAAACTCAATTATTCCAATCGGGTAGGTTTCAAAACCGCAATCAAAAACACCCCATCCAAATCTTCTGAGTCAAAAACTTCATCTATCCGCTACATCTCTTGAAATTTGTGAACAAGACTTCGATCTAAAATTAAAAATAAATTTTAACCGATGAACACTTCCATCTTTTACAGAATGTATTAACCTACCTGCTCGGCACTGTTCGCTTCTCTTTGTTGGGTCCCATTTTCTTTCCCCCCAACTTTTCTTCTCATTCCCATTTATTAGTTGGTGAGTGTAGACATGAAAGATGAAGTTAAAATCCAACATGTTACATGCCCACGGCCCACCCACCTTTTTCTGTCACAACAATTGGCACCAGGAAATCACCACAACACAACCCAAAATTAGATTTATTTGGGGTTTTTTTTTATTTGATTTTCATTCATAATTTTGTGCGTTAATTATTTTAGACTAAGTTATATTTTTAGTCCTTATGGTTTGTTGAATTTTTTTATTTTTGTCTTTATGATTTTTATCCATATGATTTATAATTTATTGTTTTTTTCGTCTATATGATTTGAAATTTATTGCTTTTTTCGTCTCTGTGATTTAAAATTCATTTATATTTTAGTAATTCATACTTAAAAGAAGTGTTTTGGCCTAGAAACGAAAATAGAAATAAATTGCAAACCATAGGGACGAAAATTGAAATTTCAAAACTACAGAGACAAAATCCGTAATTTTTAACAAACCATAAAGACCAAAAACGTAATTCACTCATTATTTTGTAATAAAACGGATTAAATTTTTTAACTATAACAAACTTTATTTATTCCTTTTGCATTTCGATCTGTCCGATTCTTTCAGAACTTCTATTCAAAAATTGGTCAAATACATAATTAAACAAATCAAATATGTCTCTTAGAGTACTTTGAATATTTTTAAATATTTTAGACACACATTTTGAATACAATTGTAGAATAGTATGATATGTTATTAAAGACCTGAAACTCTTTTGTTAACTGTGGGTATTTAAGCCAACTTGTATGTACCTCGATTAATCTCAGAGGCCTTAAAAACAGGCAAGAAAAATCTCCAATAACCTCATAGGACTTGATGACCTCTAACGAAAATTCTCAAAAACCTAAACCTTATTATCAATTGAGTCATTCATTGTATTTGTTTGGACTCCTAGATTGGGCTTATTGGACTCCTCTTGGGCTTATAACTTAAAACCAAAATTACCCAGAAAAAACCCATGTATCTTCTGAATCAATTACATCATCTGTTTTTAACAACCATGAAACCATAATTACTAATACGTAGTTTGTTTGTTTGTTAGCAGTTTAATATATTTAATGAGATTTGCAGGTTATACGGTCAATTATACATGGTGTTTGGTAGTGACTTAATGATTAGAAAATGGCTTATTCAGTAAGCTTCTAAGAGAGGCTTGATGCAAAATGTCAAGTTTTTTCCATAACTTGTCCTTCTCAATTAAAAAAAATACACTCCCTTCGTCTATGGAAAACCCTTCTCAAACAAAAACTTTCACAATTCATATAGACAGATTAATATACACAAATGTTTTATCAATATAGAGCTTAATGGAAAACCAACCAAACAACCCCTAAGTGTCCAGGTTTTTATTTTAGCTTGTCTCAAGATAAATGTTCCACTTTCAAAAGTAAATACATGCTTTCCAATTTTACCCTTAATTATAAGACGAATAAACTAATTGTTCCATATAAGAGTAAGGACAAAAATATCGTTTGGTTAACTAAAAGTCTAATAATTACACATGTCTAAAACAACTCGTCTATTTTTATTATGGGCATTTATTTGAGACAGAAGGAATATCAATATAAGCTTGATAAAGCATCTAGTACGTCAACTTAAAATTATTTGAAACAAACAAAAGGCTAAACAACGCTACGTAGCCACCAAACTGTTAAACATAAGTTTTAAATATTAAAATAAAACAGACACTATCAGATTAATATTTACAATTATAAACCAATCATACTTTTATTTGTAAGTTCAGTTAATATGACATATTTAAGCCGCTTCCTAATTGATCACGAGTTGCTTTTGTAGAAACCATGGCCGGATTTGAGGAATTACACATGCACATAACGGCAAGGGTTTGAAGTGCAGTAAAAGCCAATCATAACCATTACTAAAATCGTTTAAAAAATGAATAAAACAGATAGACCATTCGACCTATCAATACAAAACGATTAATCCAACTTTTGTGTGTTAATTGCCATAAATATGACCATATGATTAAAGGAGAAGTGACCCCACTTGAAAATATGTTTTCTTTATGTTAAATGTGTGATCTCAAAATCTTATACGGATAATTGATCCCACTTTTGGTCAAAAGTTTTATCATCGTGTTTTTTAATATACTTAAACTTATAACGCATTATTAAATCATTAAATAATTTATGATACGTTTTTATGCTTTTCTAGATGATTGACCGTAAGATTATAAGAATGTCCGAAATCATTAAATATTTTTACTAAGTTAGAATAAATTATCGTCGTTTTCTTGTGAAAATACATCTGTCGCATCTCAACAACTAATGGACATAACGTCGAACTCAAACTTACTTATAAGAATAGAGACGTACACGTTAAATTTTTTTATGTACAATTATGTAGTAAATTTAAAGTTATATCTTAAATCATAACTTAAATAACATTATTTTTTTAAAATATGTTGTAGCTAATAATAATTTCTTGATGACAAAAAATTAATGCGGATAAACTAATAATACTATGTCTCTGAACGTGTAGGGGCTGTTTACCAAACACTTACCCGGTAAGTGTTTATCAAGTTATATTACCTTACTGATGAATATGGAAAGAACCAATAATCTTACCCGGTAAGAGCGAAGATAAGGACCTATAGTCTTATCTGGTAAGTGAGGACGATGATTTTTTACCACGGTAAACGCTTACCGGGTAAATTGTTGTATATGATATCGTTTCTTGGACTAAAATCTTACCCGGTAAGTAAGTGATAAGTATTGAATTTTGCCGATAAACTCTTACCAGAGTAAGCGTTTGGTAAACTGCCCCTTATTTGGTAAAAAGATGTGGTGACTTTTCTCAAATACAAGATAGGTCTCAAATTCAACCCCTCCCCACCCCTCCCTAGCCTCAACCGTTAAATGAGAAAATAAATGTCCATTTATTTTGGTGTCCTTGAAGGTGGGTTTTGTATGAGAGCAATTAAGATTATTGGTAATCAACTTTTTATTCAAATACTATGTTATTTTTACAAAATTCCATTGTTTAACTAAAAGGTATTTTACCGAGTTGGTAAACGATCCTAAGACTATTTGACTTTTTGGCAAAACAACGAGAAAAATTTCTAAACGAAGAAATGTTGTTGATCCTAATTAATATAATTTTTATTTACAAATAATTATATGAAATGTTTAATTAAATGTTACTAGTATTTGTCATGGACCACACCCACCAACTTCTTATGATTCTTTCAACTTATTTTATATGAAAACTTACTTTTACTTTGAAATTTTGGTTAAAAATATTAAATTGGATGATTATTAACATCAATTAATAAATTGTGTGTATTAAATAAATATGAAGGCATAACATGGTTCTTTAATAGTAGTAATTAATGGTGTGGGATCATTTCATTAATTCAATATAATTTTTTTTTTGTTTTAAATAAAAAGATACGATATTCACACATGTTTTAAATGATAAAATGGAAGGTGAACGATAAAAAGCAGAAATGATTACATTTAAACAGTGGGATCTCGATAGTTATTATGGATAGAGGGTGGAGGAGATACTAAATTATCAAGGGATGTTTTTTTTCTTGCCTTGGCTAAAATACCTGGCAAGCATCTATTTGAACGATTCATTATCTTATGTGGGAATATCAAAACAACATCCTATTCCAAAAAAATTCACCCGTCGTTGAGTTCTTGTTCACCGAGATGCAAGTTAGAACTTTTGAATGGATATCGATAAGATTAAAGAAGAGATCCATAGAGTAGGGACCATAGATCGACAAGTCACATCTTTTATCATTTAGCCTATCGATCGCGTTTGTGCATTTGTCACGCTATTAGCTATGCTTTTGTTGTCTTCTTTTTACGTCTCCGTTGTCTTTTTAGCCACGGTTTTTTTCGTCTTTGTCCTTTCTTTTTTACTGCACCTCTCGGTTGTACATTTAGATTGTCTTATTCTTTGTAGTTTTAGGATCTGTTTAGCAGTTGCTGAATAGTTTGGTATAAAATAAAAAAATAGTCAGAATGATTAAGAGACTCTTATGATACAATGCAAGAGGAAATATAATTGTTAAGAGTAAATGGTTAAGGGAAACACAAGATACAAAATCCTTCAGAATATTTTAAAACCATTAAAAAATAAACTTTTTATTTACTAAATAAAATTCACCTCTAACAATTTAAAAGATTATCTCTTAATAAAACTATGAATGGATAAGCAATATGAATAGGTAAACCAAACAACCTCTTGCTTATTATTAAAAAGAGAACTTATCATAAAAACCAAGCGTATTGAAGGAGGCAATAAAGCGTGACAACTACAAGTGGACCAGCAAATAATGCCAACCCCTATTTGGACCCACATCCACGTGCTATCTACTCTTGTTGGACCAAATCCATATATCTTATAAATTAATAATTAATAATTAATAATTAATAATTAATAAATCTAATAATATGCGTATAAATATATACATGACTTTTTTTTTAAATGTAGATTTGATTCTAATATTTGTTTTTATGGATTTATTTAATCTTTTAAACCACTTATCAAAACTGATGAATGAATAAACGATGCATCAGAGTTGATCTTCCCACGTGTATTCCGCAACAGACCACGTAGAGAAGAAGGGTTGTGTTTCCTTCTCGGAGATTCAGGCAGGTAGGACGACCTCAACTCGCTTCAGTAACAAATTTCATGTGAAGAAGAAGAAGAAGAAGAAGAAGTAGCAACAGCATAATCACAGCTAGCGATGTCTTCAACTCCACATATCTCCGTTTTACACACCAGGTTTGTATGCATGTGTGTAATGTTGACGTTCTTCTTGTTCTGTAATTTTTTATTCGGATTTCGTTTGATTTCTGATAGCGAGGGTAAAATTTTGTGCATTGTGATGCTTCTGTTCGTCCAAGTATACGAGTTTATTGATTGTGCAATTTCTGCTCCCGAGTTTGTTTACTGTTACTGGCGAACTCTTTGTGAAAAATCTCTAGGGCTCTAATATCAGAACAAATTGATGATAAGAAGAAGTTGACTTTGGATTTTATATACATATCCAAATTTCTCTGATGAAAATATCCTCTGATTTACCTTTTATTGATTAAGTTTTAATTTCTTACGTTTAGTAGATGAATGATGTATATTATCTGAGCTGACCAGTTTTTCTGCATAAAAGGTTTACCTGAAAGCTTCTAACTGAAAGTGCAGAGTTTGTAAACTATCATATCTTAGATTATAACGTCAAATGGAAAATAATGAGTTTCCTTTTCACCAAAATTGCTGTTTACAGAGGATAAACTGTACTTCCATGGGAAGATATACGATTTAGCTTTAGGAGATTGAACGCATTAAATTTTGAAGATACTGCACAAATTTCGAGCCATCATTTTGGTGAACTTCAATTTAGTTTTTGCTTTCCTTTTGATAGTTGTTGTGTTAAGTAGGTGAATGATTTGCTCTTTAGAATAATCGAAGCAGAGAATTAATGATTAATAAACAACCTTCCTTTGGTCTTTCTGGGCCTCAAAACTCAAAATTTTATCTGGTATTGGGGAACGCAGGGAGTGCCATCTCTTCCCAGGTCCTTGTAAGGAAACCACAACCCATCATTTTATCCAATGAATTTCCTCGTTAGCAACCGATTTGGAGGGGCATGTAACGAATGTTGGTGATTTTAGTGTCATCAAGCCATTTAGTATGATCGGGATTAATGTGAGACAAGCTGAAATCAGACTTAGCTATAATTCGAGCCCGGGGGGTGCGAAGTGCATGCTTGGATAAGTTAAGTTGATCTCGGGCACGCAGGGGTCCGGGGGCAGCGCATCTAGTGGGGTTACAAGGGGCATCTCCCCTGGCGGCGGTCCGAAAATTCATCCGTATGCAAGAAATGGATCCAAACTCCTGAACAGTCGCGTCTGTTAAGAACAGACACGACTCCCGCCAAAATAACCGACTTAACCGCCGGTGGCTATATAAATAAGATTTCGATTTGATAATTGCAGGGTTGAGAATCTTGTTTAAGGTACATAAACAAGCAAGGAATTCTGTGTTTTTGATCTTGGATTTTGCCTAAAATCCATATCGTTGTTTTTGGATTATCCCAAATCTGATTTTGTGGTACCCCATGCTATAGGGTCGAAATCACAGATTTGGAAAGTGTTTTATACACGATCCTTGAATTATCCAAGTATTTTTGATATTTTGTTTCCAAAATCTAACAGGGAAGACCTTTGTTGTTGTTGTTGGATTCGATTTAATGTGCCGTATGGAAAGATTAACACAATGATTTTGAAAAGTGCTGCTTCTTCCTTTACCTTGCAACTTATCTTTTATGGGTGCTATAGGTACTTGGAAATCTGCCAGGTGCATGAGGTGCAACCTAGCTCGGCTGTTCTATCATGGTTGAAGAAGGTCATATTTCGTGCAAGACTCTTTTTATCTTCACTGTCCCTATATTTTGTTCTTTTTTCCTTCTAATAATGGCATGCAAAAGTATTATAGATATGAGTTACTTGAATTACTTTATTTATTTGCCACATTTGAAGAGATATCGTTTATGATTAAGGCTTACATGTTTAAAGGTCAGGTCCAAACCGTTCTTTCCAATTTAATTATTTATGAAGCCTAATCTATGTAAGGGCCATGAACGGACCCAATGTAGAGCAGACGGTGGCCCGTGCCACCGTATTATTCATTGGTCGTAGCGTAAAGATTCTAGGATCGTGAAAAGTGCCAACGTATTAATTTGTTGCGTTCCACCGTATATATTTTGGAACTACAATGAGAACACAAGCTTTTCTTGGTAGAGTTGGTTTACCTAGACCTGAGTTCGAATCCTGTTAGTGTCATTTTCTTAGTTTTTAACTTTTAATTTCAGATCTATTATGTTTCTGAAAAACGTTATGCAGTAAAAGACTTTTGAACACGGGACCTCACATATGAAAAGCAATGAACTAACCAACACATCAAAGATGATTTTTGAAATGGTGCCACCGTTTGAAAAAATATATGGGTCCGTCACTGGTAAGGGCAACCTTGCAATCCTTGGCTTTGTGAAGTTCGCTAGGGAAGTCTTCCCATACAGCCTTTCTGTTGCATTTTTGCATAGAAGTTGTTTCCAACTCAAACTTGTGATCTTCCAATCACAAGGAGTAATCTTAGCAGTTTAATATATCTGTAAGAATAAAATCATCTTTCTCGTATGCTTGTAGATGCTATACTTTGTTACTTACTGAGAATGTACCTTGAGATAGTTTTTAGGCTGGTGACATAGTTTCTGATTCCTAACATTTTTCTTTCCTTCATATTGTACAATGCCAGGCCATGGTTCAGAAGGTCACGTGCCAAAAATGTACAATAGTGATTGTACTGGACCAACTTAAAACTGCTGATTTGTTTCCCCTCATCGATCTTTTCCGTTCAAATGAGTCGGACGCACTTGACACTGTTGACTTGCTTCATGAATCCAGCGGTGGCTTGAACGAATATCCTGTGTTGTCATTGATGCATGCAATCAGCACAAGGCTTCATGTAGTTGATATCCGGGATATGCCATTAAAGGAGGATGTCTTGAGGTCTATTTCGTGGCTTCCATCAGATTGATCATAAACTTCATACTCATATTCGTCACAGGTGTCATTTGCAATCACAATGTCACTCTCCATCCCCTTAATACCAAAGAAAAATGGGAGAGGGACACAATATGCATAATACTATTAATTACCATCAAAAGGAGCATTATTAAAAGCTTAGATGTGTACCATGATTAAGAAATGGTTACTGTGTCATTTTTATTCCTAGAAGTTAAGTGGTTTTTTATGCCATGTATGGCTAATGTTTTCAGGGATCTTTTTGAGACTGGTCTGGACTGCCGAATTTTGAACATAAGGTCCACCGATATTCAAAAGCTCAACATGGCCGGGAGATTTATGCATATGCACACCCTTAATCTTGATTTTTGCACCTCACTTAGTAGCATGGAGAAGGACTGCTTCACTTACATGCCTAATCTGGTGCGACTTTCGATGTGCGCGACAAGAGTGGCTAATCTGTGGACTACCGCTGCTGCCTTGTCGAAACTTCCTTCATTGCTGGAACTACGATTTCAAAACTGTTTGTGTTGCAAGGACACTGCCCCATGCCATTTGAAAGATTTCTATGATAATAACACCACCAAAGCTTCAAGTAATATGCTAAATGAGGTCAGAACTTCCACATCTAACTGTTAAAATTTTATTATCTAGAATTTGTTGATATATTCATTTGGAACATTAGCATCATATCTTGAGATTTAAGTCAAATGAGGGATATATTCCACTCCATCTTGTTAACGAGTTCATGATCTGTTCCAGGTTTCTTTTGGTAAATTGCATGTTCATGAACAGGACACTTCTCCAGAGGGCGTGGTTAATATTGGCTTGGCACATGCTTCTACTGTTTCAAAAAAGTACAACTCACATCATCCTTCACCCATCTGCTTTCAGAAACATTATCGAGAATATATGATTGCTTCATTGCCACGATTAGGAGTCTTGGACAATTGCCGCATTGGAAAATTTGATAGAGGAAGAGCTAAAACTGTCTTCTCAAGATACTATGAGTTATTACCAAATAAACGACAGCACAAAGAGAGCATCCTTAGTGTATTGCATATGCGCGAAACAGGAACAAGTAGTGTGCGCAGCCAAAAATCCTTGAGGTCCAAGGGTCCATCACTACATAAAAAGAGTCAAAGTTTCTACTCGAGGTCTCTCTGTGCTGCTAAACTTGGTTCATCTGCATGGCCTGTTTTACATCCAATATCTAATATTAGCCAATTACCAAAAGAAGAGGGCAAGATCCTTCGACCAAGGCAGTTCGAGTATCACCAAACTGATCCCAGCCTAATGGCTTTTGGGACTCTAGAAGGGGAAGTAGTTGTCATCAACCATGAGACAGGGAATTTGGTTAGTTATGTGCCATCCTTTGATACACATAAGAGCGTTCTGGGGCTCTGTTGGCTTAAGAGATACCCATCCAAGGTACTTTTTATACTCGAACAATAAGCATATTTCTTAGAGCAGCTCTGTTTTGTTCCTTTGCATACTTATTTTGGTTTTATTCTAAATTATTGAGAAGGGATCTAGGTTAGCTGTAGTTTTCCTTGACATGCAAAAAACTATACCGAGTCCCCATATTGGCCAACATTTTTTTTGAAGTATATAATATTTTATATATGGCAAATAAAACTCACACACACTCCTCACATTTGGTGAGGTTTGCACTCTTGACCTCCAGGAAGGTTGGGTTCTGCCGCTGGTCCAATGACCCTTTGGTCCATATTGGCCAACATGCTGAATACACTTGATCGCTAAAATTTATAAGCATTTATGCATGCATATCTTGTGATTCCTAAACAATGATTGGAACTACTTGATGGTATTTGGCACGTGCCTAGTTTCCTTGATCTGATTGTTACAAGCATCTATGCTTGTATATGTTCTACTACATACCAAAACTGTGGTCAGCATATTTTGCTCGAAGTTTGTATGTTTCTCTTCTTGTTCTTTTATCATTAGTCAAAAATTCCACTTGATTATTTCACTCGGGGCTTCTATCTATCTAGCATTAATTATACAAACTTTCTGCTGCGACAAACAGCTTGTTGTTGGTTATGACAACGGATCCTTGAGATTGTACGACATAAACGACACACTTCCAGGAGTTGCAGATAGCTATTGCAGTTCTACTAGTGTGGGTTTTGATGACTTTCAGCACTTGACTTCAGTTCATGTCAATGCAACAGACGATCAGATTCTTACAAGTGGTTACTCGAAGAAAGTTGCTGTTTATGATATCTCCACTGGCAAGCGCTTATATTTGTTCAGCGATATGCATCGAGAACCCATCAACGTGGCCAAGTTTGCACATCATTCTCCCTCCCTCTTTGTTACTTCATCATTTGATCATGATGTCAAGATGTGGGACTTGAGAAGAAAACCTGTAAACCCATGCTACACGGCTTCAAGTTCAAGTGGAAACGTGATGGTTTGCTTCTCTCCTGATGACCTTTATTTGCTTGCATCAGCTGTGGACAATGAGGTATTTCGATTTGGTCTGTATAATGACTAAATCTAGGATGGTCCTGATACCTTGTAATTTTAACAACATTTGGGATCTTTTCAGAAAGCCAAATGCTTAGATATATCTATAATATTTATTAGATGTCTTTGGTCCAAGCCTAATGGCTGTTGGTGGCAGGTTAAACAACTTCTGGCTGTAGATGGGAGGCTTCATACAAATTTCGATATAGCTCCTACAGGAAATGCTCAAAATTACACTCGCTCATATTATATGAACGGAAGAGACTATATAATTAGTGGGAGTTGTGATGAACCTGTTGTTCGTGTTTGTTGTGCTCAATCTGGAAGGCGACTGAGGGATATATACTTGGAGGTATGTATCTTTTCAGATGCTTCAGCTTTACTGATACTTTGTTATTCTCTTGAACACCATGGTAGTCGAGATTACGTTCGCTCGTTTGAATTTGGTCCCTGTTATTTCAGGGTCAGAACGCAAGAAGCCTGATGTTTGTGCAGTCTCTAAGAGGAGATCCTTTTAGAGTAAGCTTTTATTTATTTTAATCTGAAATGAAAGGTGGCCTACCAAGTACCTAGGCATGAACACAAGCACATGAGCACAACTATGAGCATCATTGTGTTGGCTCTCCGTTTACCAACACAAATTGGGTAAACCCTAACCGAGTAAGGGTGTGGTCTGGATAAGCATGGACTGAAAATGGTTGTTTACCAAGTGTCTTGGTAAGCACGGACCGGTCAGAAAACAACCCCTTATGTAATTACTTGGTCAGCATATTTGAGGGTCAGTGTGTGTTGGTAAACATCATCCCTTCTTACCGGTGTAAGAGGTGGTCGTGGTCAGCATGTTCTAATAGAAACATGTCTGGTTTTAACAGCTTAGGAGTGATGAAAACACCTTTAAATTCACAGAATACAATAACTTAGCTGAACATGAAAAGACATGAATTGAAGTATTATTTCTATGTATCTAGATAATGCTTAGCATGGGTATGAGAATGAATGTATGTATCTTTGTTGTGTTCAGCATTTTCACATGGCCATCCTAGCAGCATATGTGCGTCCTAGCTCTAAATGGGAGATCATCAAGGTGATTGATTTGATCCATCATCGTTTCTTTTCTTTCGTACTCATTGAATAATATGTTGCTGAAAACCTAAACTCCATGATGATATGAATAAATGCAGGTCAATTTGCTATCCTCAGGACCCTACTCCTCTAAATATCATAAAGGTCAACATCTCTGCCCTTCCTATAGACTTGGCACTCAGATGTAAATCCTTTCCCCTTAACCAAATCCGATGGTGTTAATCGGTGTGTGTGTGTGTGTATATATATATATAATACGAACTCCAGGTAATCTCTCTGTATATATGTATGAGGAATTCCAGTTTTCTATGGTACATGTGTATGATTTACTGGTTTGTTTCGTTTATTACTTCATCATTTGTTGAATGTTGGACAATCTTAAGAACCAGCTTGAATCAGCAGATTAGAAACAAGTGTTTGAAGCCAAAAGTGATTAAACAAGACTACTTTCAACAGCTATGGTATTTTAGTAATTTTTAGTAATTTTGGAGATTTAGAAAAAGTTTGCTTCAACAATTATGTCAAGCTCTTTTTTAAAATAGAGAAAGGAAAAGGAGAGAGAACGGGGAAATCTCCCAATTCGGAAAGAGTTTCTGAAAATATAACATATATGTTGGAGATGTACTAATAGAGTGTGTGCCTCTGCCTCGGGTAAGAAAGTTACATTCAAGTCCCTGGTCTTCTATAAAATTGCATTTATTTGTATTGTAATGATTATTAATGCAAATACAGCCCTATGTTGGCACAGAATCTTCAGCATTCCATTTTAGATCTTTCTTTTGAATATCACACGGGCGCTAAGTTTCTTCTTTATTAAAAAACACAAGTAAATTTCATATAGAAGGTTAAACCGGTAATCTAAATTTTTTTTCCATTCAGAACATTTACCAAACAACTGTTTTTCATTGTACACTAATCATATCGAGTCTATCATTTAGACCATTAATTATTTAATCATTCTTCACCAAATCATTTAACATATATCAAACAACCCCTAAGTCATAATATTTGTTGGCGAGATTACAACCTGTGAAGCATTCAAAACAACTGATATTGTTTTGTTTGGTCCCGACTTGTGTAATTTAGTAAACCCTCCATTGTTATCTTGTAATCATTAACCATTTGCGGTAGTTTAGCTGTTGAGGTTTCGGGTTAGCTTATCATTGGTTCATAAGTTCAAGCCGTCTCAAAACCGTTAACAATGTGTGACTCAGGTTGCCATAGGATTAGTTGAGGTGCGTATAAGCTGGTCCAGTCGTCCATACATCTATGGTTTACCGGAATATCTTATAAAAATTGCTGATAACTAAATTTAAAAAAGAAAAATAGTAAAAAAAACGTCATATTTCTACAGATAAATTTAAAATAAAGCAGTGCATTGTATTTTTGGAGTAAATGTTATGGTTGTTTTTATTATCAAAATGTTGGGGAAAAGGTACGAGACAGGTTGTATTATATGCATTACAGGTTGTATGGAATGCAAGTTTCAAGAGCAGTGATGGAGGAAATGAACCAAACTAGAAGATAGAGACAGAGTGACAGGCTGTATTGTTTGCAAATAATTGTTGCTCATAATTAGTAGTAAATCATTAATGAACGCTGCATTCCAACTCTTTTTACTTCTAATTTATTTCTATCAAATAATTTACGTCTTTATTTAAAAAAAACGAACGGATCTGGTAGGATTTCCAAGAAATTCTTCGATTTCTTCGGAAGCGGATGACTAGTCCTCTGTTTCTCACGTTCCGTGAATAGCCGGGACATTGAGGAATATCCAGAAAGGCATTTCGGGAATCGGGTTGATTCTATCTCTGTTCCTTCCGTTTGAAGAAAGGAAGGATCGCAAAACATCGGTCTTTCTTTTAGTTGTTGAATCTCTCTCTAATTGATCAATGTGTGATATTCCGAATCCTCGTTGCTAATGGAATCAAGTGTTTTAACGGGTATTTGTCCCTTTTTTAAAAAAAAAAAATCAATGTACTTATAGTTGCATTTTTTAACGAGTCGTATCGTTATTTTTTAATGAGTTTAGTCGTTGTGGTTATAGTTTTTTAATAGGTCCAGTCCTAAATAAACCAATGAATTGGGTTCGGACCTAACTTGTTGTAAAAATACAATCACAAGGATTGAATTTTTTAAAAAAAAGCGACAAGGACCGTGAAAAACATATAACTGCAAGGACAAAACATGTAATTTACTCTAATTTAAAATTTTAGGGCCATGTTATATGCAGCTATTTAAGTAAGAATCAGATTAAATCATGCATTAAAAATGTAAAAACAAGTCTAGATACTGATGTGTGTAAGAAGAAAATTAACAGATAAATATACATTTAATAATATATAGATGTGCATTTAAACAATCCTTATATTTAATATAAAACATAGGTGTTTGGAGCTTTTTTCTAGTAGAATCTCTCAAATAAAGATTTTTGAAATTTTCTTTTAATTTCTTTTTTGTTTAAACAGGATCCTAAAACATTTTCTCAGGTCAAGAAAAGAGGATGAAAGATGAATTTTGAAGAAGAAAAAATAGGGGTGTCCCGAAAAATCATTGTACCGTTCAAACAGGTCAAACCAAGTCAAACAAGATTGTTTTTGATGGTTTAAACAGTCTGACAGTTCGGTCTGATCTGAAAGGTAGTCAAACCATTCAGTCCGGTCCGTTCTATGGTTTGAACGTTTTTTTAAGAGGGTCTAGACCGAACCGACCACCAAAAAATTACATATATATTAATTATATTTAGTTTTCATGTTATAGGCTCGTATTAATGACACAATAAAAAAAATTCGTCCAAAACATTATGTTTTTAGTTTTCATTTCTTAATTTACCACATCATCTAAATTGGCAAAATCAAAATTCTGTCAAAAATCAAATCCAAAATTTCAAATCGTCATTAAACTTGCTCAATATTTGTCCAAAACTTCAACATTGTTAGTGGATTTTTTTTAACATTTTAAAACTTAGCTCAATGTTTTTTAGATATAAATTAGATAGATGTATCTTTTATAATTCAATGTTCTATTTTTAATAATGTATATTGGCAAAATTTTCGTTTTGAATATATATGTTATGTTCTTTGAGTTTAAATCTCATAAGAGGCTAAAAACGTCTAAACCGGTCAGACCAAACCGTCTTTTAAAAAAAATTCCCTAAATCATCATTATGGTTTTAGCTTGTGGTTAAGAGGGTTAAACCGTTCAAATCGAACCGCAAACGCCCCTATCCAAAGATTATCCTAAACAAAAAACTTTCTGTAAAATGTACATGAAAAAAATACGAAAGAGAATATAAAAAAATCTCTTAATATTTTTGCAAAAGAATTTCAAACCTGAAAACACTCTTTCTATTTTCTATTTTTCGACATCAACATATATTTAAAATTTTAATATTTTATATAAATTATGTTTAAAATTATCATTTTATTAAAAAACTTGCTTAAAATTTATCATTTTGTATAACTTTTTTAGAATCTGTTACATATTAAGTGTATTAAATATTTTTGAAAATTTCATGTTAAAAATACTCGTATAGTAACAATATAAAGTAAAATTTGTTTTTAGTCCTTGTGGCTTGTTAAATATTAAGATTTTCGTTCTTATGGTTTAGAAATTAAATGATTTGTCATTTCTTACTATTTTCATTCTTATTATTTACAATTTATTGTTAATTTGGTCTATCTGGTTTACAATTTTTTGTTTTTTCTGTCCATTGTCTTGGGGATAGGCGAGTTGTCCGGGAGACAAAATAGCAATTAAGTGCAAACCATAGAAACGAGAACCATAATTTTTAAACTATAGAGACAAAAATTGCATTTTTTAACAAACTACAAAGACTGAAAAACGTAATTTACTCTAAAATATATGTGTAGAATGTTGTAATTTGAACTGATGAATCAACTCAATGTATCAAGAATGTAAAAGGAATATAATATTAGAATGCAGATCATTTACAAACCCAATAATTAGTACAAATCGATCTCAACCATATATCTAGTCTAATGAAATATCTCGATTGTTTTATAATATAAAGTGTTGATCACAGTAAATTAATACTGATAATCTTTCACAAATATCTAAATCCATAATAAATTAATTATGTCATTTTTTTAAATATCAAATAATTAATTTATATAATTTATATTAATGATTGAATTCAGAAATGAAATAATCTCTACAATTTAATATATCCTTGTGAAACGCACATGGATCACCGTCACCCACCGTCACCGACTACCGCTATAAATACCTGCTCAATCTCCCATCGCCGTAACAACCATCGACAAGATGAAACTTGTTCCATTTGCAGCAGCTCTGCTGATTGTCACTTTGCTCTTCATCACTTCCTTCTCCGCCACCGCCGTATTATCCCCAGCCCCAGCTCCAAGTAATCAATTCCATCCATTTTCTTCTTAATTAATTAATTAATTAATTTCTAAGTTTTGTTATTTGATTTGATTTGAAATGGATGATCAGGTGGATTTGGATTTGAATGCGATGCGAAATGCGCGTATCGATGTTCGAGATCTGGTTGGAAAGACCAGTGCCTGAAGTATTGCGGGATCTGTTGCGGCAAATGCAAGGGTTGCGTGCCTTCTGGTCCATACGCCGATAAGGCTCAGTGTCCTAGCTACCGTGATCTCAAGAACCCCAAGGGCAGAGACAAGTGCCCTTAACTACACTGCACCGTTTTAATTCATTACTAAATCTATTGCTTTCTAATCTTGATTTTGTCAGATTATGGTTTTATTTTCAGTGTTTTTCGAGCACGTAACCAATAAAAAACCAACAACTTTGTTTAAAACATAAGAGCTTCTGAAGCAAACAACAAATAATAACTACGTTGGAGCAAGAGACCAATAACCAAAGCAAACATTCATTTTAATGTTTTATTACAAGAACATTTCAATGTGTAGGTGCATATCCACAAAATCTTACAAACACCATCTAATCTAGAGATGCCAACAAAATTTGAAACCGATGGTGAAAACCGAAACTTTTGGCTCGGGTTCAAGGACGGAGATTACCGGCCCAATATGTGTATGTATATTAATTTTAATTTATATACATACACACACATATATAGCTACAAAGTACAAGCCATCTTCAATGGACGAGTTAAAGTGCAAAAATAGCTACTAACCATCTTCAACCAATGAACTAAAATGCATTCACATAATTACAAACCATCCTCAATTAATGAGCTACCATATATTAAAATATCTACAAAAAAACCATCTTCAATCAATAAGCTAAAAAATTGATCAATAAGCTAAAAAATTGATCAATAAGCTAAAATTTAGTAAAATAGTTACGAGCCATCTTGTAAAGTGCTGAATAGATATAAAAAGAAGCTAGTAAAAGTGCTTATTGAAAAAATAGCACATGCACAATAGAGAAAGATGGACCACATTTTAACACAAACAAAACAAATACTTGAAAAAATTGATCAATAAGCTTTGTTTGTTTTTCATAAAAAAGCTCTTATCAACCTCTTATATCTGATTCGTTAAGAGACAGGGTTATTCAAATTATTATTTTTTTTCAATTTTTCAGAGGCATTTATGTCTTATTTTCCTCTTATTTGATAAGAGGTAAACCAACTTCTTATTTGCCTCTTATTGTTCTTCAAATCATCAACAACGGCGTTTCTCAATCGATTAACCTTGATCGATCATTTCTCTCAATCAATCCTCACCTCTTTCAATTAATATATTTTAACATGATGCAAATGTGCTAAACACCGTTAATGACATATTTTCGTTTAAATGAATGTTAACTATATAATTTAGATGTAAGTTTCATAATGATGATAAATAAATATGTGAAATTGTATAAAATTATCTATAAATTCAACACTATAATTTTTAGTAAGTAAAATACACAATTTAAACAAATTCATATGTTTATCAATTTACAAAAACTAAATGTAGGATCATATAAGTTTAACATTATATTTGAAAGTTACTAAAACTAAATAATATACTAAAAATGATTATAATTAAATTTAAATAGATTATGAGAACACAAATTTAACTAATTAATATACACAAAAAGATATTATAGTTAAATAAAATATAAAAATATAATTTTAATTATTGTACTTAAGCTAATTAAAGTATACAAAATAATTATAGTTAAATAATAAATATATGTCATGTATGTAAGATATATAGTTAAATTAAGGGTAACATTAGAAAATTAGTAATTTCAAATTAAATTTTTAAATAAAAGTTATTGTGGGTATTTTGTAAATTTTCTCTCTCCTCTCAACTCTCATTTAAAAAATAAAACTCAACCTAACAAGTAACTTAATACACTATGAACACCAAGTAACTTAACAATTATCACCAAATAATACATTGTGATAATCTTGTGAACACAAAAGACACCAGAAACAAAAAACCAAAAAAACTGTAGATCCCTATAAAACGCTGGTGTAAGGACTTGAATACACACTATGACGAAATAAATCAAATGTGAACACATACCAAGCATCTTTGGTGAACCAAGAACAAAAAACCTACAGTATCACGATATGAACCACTATCAAATATATTATTTCAATTAAACATTGTGATTGTTTATTTTTATACACCTTATGAACACAACATGATACAACGCCGCCAAAAAAAAACTGTAAATTCCAAATAAAAATGATGTTATTTTTTATTTAAACCTCTTGAAATTATTTAAAAATAAATAAAATTGGTGAAGGGTTGTTGAGCATTTAATAAAATTATAAATGATGGGAAATATATTAATTATAGATGTTCACGAATGTGGTTGATGGGTTGGTCATATTATATATTTATTTTATGTCCGCTTTTGAATTTCCAAACACCATAAATTCGTCATCAATAAATGAACGCGGAAACGAACGCGGTCACACTCTAAGTCCACTCCTAACTCCTTTCCGTCTATGTTTTTAACATTAGAAATCTACTTGGACAATACACCGTGATATACCGATTCAAATGTTTTTTTTTTGTCTCAGTTGATGTTATAATATGATTTTATGTGGTTTTGAAAAAACAATAATATTTTTATAAATACATCATAAAAATATTGAAAGAAAAATATTGATATGAGTATCAAACTAATTATTTAAAATTTCTCGTTTTCTTTGGATTTCTTTAATTCTTTTTTTTATTTTTGATTTAATAATATATTTTTCTATAAAAATAATAATTAAGTTTTTTTATTAGAAGTCAATTATTATTTTAATTATATTTTAGATTTTTTATATTTAAAATGAGATATTTATTCTCTAGTTAATTATGTTTATTTACAGTTAGTTGTACGAATTCAAACATGAAGTTTTAATAAGTTGTATTTACGCACAATTTATTTATAATCTTGAATTTTAAGTAATATGTATAAATAAACAGTATTTCATATATAAAAAATTATTTTTAATAATTTTTGTCAAATCCTTTATAATATACTATTAAAAATATTTAATTCAAATTTTAATTAAAAAAATAAAAGGGAACACTTTTTGTGAATCACAATTTATATTATAAAGAATCTTGAAGATAATATTTAATCAATATTTATATATTTATTTTAAACATTTTCTTACTATTTTCCTTTCACACAACTTATTTCTTTTACATAATATATCAGTTTAATTTTTTGTGCTGTTTAATTCAGTTGGTAAAAAGATGTTATGATTTTGTCAAATACAAAACAGGTCTCGGGTTCAATCCTAAGCTTTGCATTAGCCTCACCATTAAGTGAGCCAAAACGTGTCCCTTTCCATTAATGTCATTGAAAGCGAGTTTTGTATGAGACCGATTGTGGTTGTTTTTAATCAACTCTTTTGTTCAAATTTATTATTTTGATAAAAAGGAAATTCCTTAAAATAATTGATTGCGAAAAGGACAGGGGAGTTGTTGGACCGTACGTTGTTTAATAAGATCCATGTGGAAAATTGAACGACATTTTCTCATCCATTCTCGCTATAAATACAACCTCCCTACAAACACAACACAACATCATGAAAACCCTCTTTCCATTTGCTTTTCTGCTTATTGCAGCTCTCCTCCTAATCTCCTCCGGTGCTGCCACTTCTCCGGCGCCATCTCCGGCACCATCTCAGAGTAATCCATCACCACTCTAATTAATTAATTAATTAATCGGTTTATATAACGTTTAATTAAGTCGTTGCTTGATCAATTAAATTAGGTGCAGGTACGTTTGGATGCGATAACAAATGTGCGAATCGATGTGCGAATGCGGGTTACAAAGAAAGATGTCTCAAATACTGCGGGATTTGCTGCGGGAAATGCAAGGGTTGCGTTCCATCCACTCCTTACGCACCCAAGTCTCAGTGCCCTTGCTATCAAAAGCTTAAAAACTCCAAAGGCACAGACAAGTGTCCTTAATTCAGTTTGATATCATTTCAATTATATATATATATATATATATATATATATGTTGATTTGGTTTAAAATTAGTGTGTGATTTTGGTTAATTTTATATGATATTGTAATTTGTGATACCTATATAATTTTATTATATGAAAAAGAGTTTTCGTGTGTGATTTTGAGAAAATTCTCTCGATCAATTTATTTTTAGATATTGTTTATAATCAAGCAAACGAGTTTTCTAATCAATAATTGTGTATGTGATTATGAGACTCTAAAAGATCATAAGAGCTTATTCAATAAGACTCTAAAATGGAGAAAATAGGACTTTTGTTTTTTATTTTGTTCCAAGAGATTTTCTACATAACCTAATTTTAGAGAATTCTCGAATACTTGATATGTAGAGAGATAAATTAGTTTTATTTATTTATTTTCATGAATGAAATTTAATTATTATTATTTTATATAATTATTTTTTAAAAGATGTATTAAAATGATGAATTTATAGAATGTCATCAATAATATAATAAATGTTGAAAAATTTAAAATAAAGAATTTATTATAGTTAAATTTAATTATTTTTAAAAAGATTTTAACTTTTATTTATTGATTTTTTTAAAAAATTGTAAAAAAATCTATTAAAAATACCGTAAAGTGATACGTCCTTTTATATATGTTGGGTAACTCACAAGATCACACCCCCCTCAAACCACATCATGACTCCAAACAAACAAATGTCACATGGACCGGTCCAAATTAATGGAATTTATTAGTTTGTATTTTATAGAATATTTAGTTATCTAATTTTAGGAGTTTTAATCGATTAGTATTTCATTAAATTTCGTATGACTCAAGTTTTTCATATTATTAGACTGTCTGTATGATTTAAGATAAGTTATAGTTCAGTTATTATGCTCAGTAAATAAATTAAATACTAGAAATAACTATTTTAATTATCCATATATCTTCTCTTCCTTTCCTCGTTCTCTGTGGCCTCTTCGCCTTCTTGCTGACTCGACGGTCGAGCCTCCCTCCTCATACGTGACACACACACAAACAATTAATAGGAAAATGTTTAAGTTTTCGTTATCTTTAATAGATTTTTTAAAATTCTTTTAAAATGAAGAATAAATTATATCAGATTATCTATTTTAAAGATTATATTATTAAAATATATTTTTTATCTGATGAAATATTATTTTTCTTTCTAAATATTTATTTTCAAAGTTTCATTATGGTGTAAATATTTTAAATAATATTTCCTTTTCATTGTAATCATTTCTTGGGGTGTTCTCTAAATTTGAAGATTTTTACACTCTCTCCGACTTTCTCCATTTTGGAGAAACGTTTTGAAAAACCCGTCGTAGCAAAAAAAACATGTCCAAAATCTGCAAAATCTCTATTTTTTCATTTTAAAGAATCTATTGGAGATGTTCAATGGGACTGCTTACTAAATCTTATGTTAAGCTTTATTTCAGTTAAGTTGTCTATTTGGATAAAGATATGTTATTTTTTCCTGAATCAACAGCCTAAATGATATAAATGACTATTTTACTCTTCAACACTAATTAGATACACTTTTTAATAAATTGTTTCTTATTTTTTAAGCTAAATTATACTTCTTGATGACAAAAACTACTTGAAAATCAAAGTATAGTACAGAAAACAAAGACATGATAACAAATGGGTTTTGTATCAACTCACATTCGATAAAATTTATATAGTAAACTACGTTTTCTATACTTTTATTTTTGAAATTACAGTTTTCCTCCACGTGCAATTTATTATTGTTTTTATCATTAAATCTAACATCTTCAATGGTCTACCGTTTGGTATACGAGACGAAAACATAAAATGAATTATAAACCATATGAGTTGTAATTGTCGACGAATTATAAATTACAAGAATAAAAAAATCATTAATTTTAAAAAAATAAATAAACATAAATGCATTATAAATTATATAGATGGAAACATGAATAAAAATAACAATGAATTATTCTTTAACTTAAACATGGAAAATAATAAATGAGCCCATATTCCTCATGTTTATTTATTTTCAAATATCGAAATTCAATATATTTATTTCTGAATTGAAACATGGAAAATAAATAATAATGAATGCGACAACCTACTTTCCCCATGTGGAGAACTTCTTTTTGTACGTTTAAATAAAATAAATATGAAAAAAGAGTAACTTGTAATATTGAGTAAATTAGCAATGATAAATCGAATTAATATTAATTCTTAAAAAAATCAATGTCACATTTTGATATGTTTTTATGAAATTAGTAGTTTATTTGCAGCTAAACAAACTAAAATTATGAATCTAAATGATCAAATGAGGTGGTCTACATACATATGATGAAGTGAGAAACAAGAAGAATCTATGAAAAAACTCCAGAAATCATGTTTTCCATTGCCGACCTTAAATAATCATATGCATTTGTATACAGAACTTACCCGAAAATGGCATCGAATTCCGTTCCTTAGCCCCTCCCGCCGTTGCCGTGACGCTGGTTTCTAAAGTAGCTGATCAGTGATTGAGCCTGCAACACGACAAAAAGGATCCGAGTTTATGTCAATACAACTTGTATCAACCGCCCCATAATCCAAAAAAGCAGAGTGCAAGTTATTAGTAGCCTACAACTTTGAGCTTATAAAGAGTTCACAAATCTAAATTTTCTATCCATGTGGAACGGAAGGAATACCTTCTCCTTGGCTCTTGGGGTACCAGATTGTGATAGAGCCACCAATGGTGGAACTGCTCCTTCTTGGAGCACTATATTGCAAAATCTACTGCTATTAGTACAGAGCTGTAGAAGTGCTGCTGCAGCATTCTCTTTCCCTCTGGCTGAACCCAATTCAACCACTTCAACCAGCATCGGTATGCCGCCCTCCTGACCAATCGCGGCTCTTCCCTCCGGGATCGTAGAAAGATTCGACAGAACTGCCACTGCCTTATCAACCATCCCACCTGCAGGGTCCATCAACTCCACAAGGTACTTAACAGCGCCAGCCTGCACAATTCGGGACTTGTTTTCGTGAAATATTGACAGGTTGAATAAAGCCGTGGCTGCATCCTTCTTCCCCCTTGGAGCTCCATTCCCTAATAGATCAACCAGCGGTCCAATTGCTCCAGACCGCCCGATTCTTATCTTGTTATCTTCGATAACGGAGAGACTAAAAAGGGTTGCAGCGGAATTCTCTTTGGCCTCTGAGCTTCCGGTCTCGAGGACGTGAATCAGAGGTTCTATTGCATCCGCATTAGCAATAGCGGTTTTGTTGGTATCGTTTATCGATAAGTTCAGAAGTGCAGTCACTGCATTTGCTTGGACTTTTTGGTCAGCTGAACGGAGCAGGCTTATTAATAAGGTGATGGCACCACAGTTGGCTATGACAACTCGATTATCGTTATTATGGCGCGCAAGTAATCTGAGTTCACCGGTAGCATCCTTTACTGCATCAAGTGAAGTGCTACTTAAATCCTCAACCAACTTTTTGACTTGGGTTTCAACTCCACTGAGATCGGGTCTCGTTTCAGTAGCTGAAGAAGAAACTACTCTTGGTCCAAATCTTTCAGATGGTCTGCGCCATATTTGATTTCGTGATCTATGTCCGAGTCGAGGTGAATATTCATGCTCCCTTTGTGGAGGAATGGCGGTAGTAATGGCGGGCTGAGGCTCTGCCGCCACCTCCCCTGAAGCATCACCGTTGTTTGCTGCTGCTGAATCTGGCGAAGATTCCTCATTTGCATCATGAGTGATCTCTTGAGAAAAGTGTCTACTGATAGGTGAGCCGGAAGTTGAAGTACTCCTCTTATGGCCCTCCAGTGACCCTTCACCCACTCCACCACTGGCTGAAGGTCCACCTGAATCCAAACTTCTCTCCTCAGATTCAGCCAAATTGTCATTCTTATTGTTCAACTCATGCCTATTTCCAGTTATGGAATCCTCTGAAGATGAATGGACATGATGCACCATAGAAGCTTCTTCCTGATTGGTCGCACTAGACACAATTAAGTTCTTCGGTGAACCCACAGTCCATGTCGATCTGGGCGAACTGGGTTTGTTCAAGCTCGTGATCTTTGCAAGGTCTGGCAGCTTAACGTTGTTGGATTCACACCAATTTGCAATCAGTGCCTTTACTGTGTAATTAGGAATAAGATTAGTGTGACCGAGCGTTTGCATTGTCTTAGGGCAAACGGTAAGCCCAAGATCAATCCAATTATGGATATATGCCCGCTCATATGTTTGTCCAGAAGCTACAATTACAGGGTCGGTCATCAGTTCAAGTGATAGCGGGCAACAGAAGTCTGGAGGTATTGGTACAGGGCTGCAGCTCTGTGATTGTTTCATCTCCACAAAGCAATCATGCATGTGGGTAACAAGAGCAATCATTTCTTCGATATATTCTACATCCACAATCTTTTCTGCTTGTTCGGCATTCTCTTTCAAGTTTTCAAGGGCAACGGCCTCTATTAGAAGTTCTTGATTTGACCTTAAGCTAAGCAGATCGGCAATTTTGGACCTGGTATCTGAGCTAGGTTCGGAGCCCTCCACCTGATACCTTATAGCTTCGGAGACAATAGCTGATGAATTTTCAAACCTCATATGCTTAATTTTCTGGATGCAATGCTGCAATTAATTATGCTATATGTAAGAAATATGAAGACATGCAGGGAAAACATATATATATATATACATACCTCAAGAGGGGCAAGTTCAAATGAGAACCGTAAAAATTTTGACAACACAAGAACCAACTATTCATGTTTTATTCATGATAAAATTGCAGGTTCTCATTTGAACTTTCCCCTACGCCAAGAAGATCTAATGAAATCAATGGCTGATATTAAGTTCCAAACCAAAAGTTCACAGTTCCATGACATAACTTTCATTTAAGTTTTGCTATTTCATGAAACTAAAAAGTAGTATTATAATTCATTTATAATGATATCAATACAGAAGTTTTATGTACAAGTTTTGAAGGTACCTCAACTGATGATGAACTCTGTTCAACAGGAAGTCCTTCACAAGATTGCAGCAGCTCAAAGAGTTCTAGGCCGTGGGTCTTAACTTTTGCAAACAATGATTCGACTTTCAAAACCTTTAGAATACAAAATCGAGCTAGTAAGACCTAATGAGTCAATAATCTCTGCACGAAAAACATTATCTGAGAATCGCACATACAAACCAACACAAAAACCTATCATAGGCAAAAAACGAAAGCAACAATATCATAAAGACAGCAGAAAATACCAATAACACTAGGAGTAGACAAAAAAATCCTACTAAACAAATCTTCTCTAAGCTTGAGGCCATTTTTGCAACCATAAACTAACTTATAAGCTACCTTGTTTTTTGGGATTATTGAAAAAAACCTCGTTTTGTTAGGCAAAAGCTATCTTTTTGAAACGCTATTTCAAGTAGCATTTCAATAAGCTCCAAAGTTTTTTGCTGCTTTCTTTTCCAATTATGTCTTATATTTTTCCAATTAATTTTGCAACATGTCTATTTAGGTCATTTATATTGTCATCTAGCTTATCAACTAGTTTCTACCAAACATGACTAGTTTATAAGCTAGCTTCTCAGTTAACAGCTAACTTATAGTGAACAACTAGCTTTTCAACTAACAATTTGCTTATCAACTAGTTTGCGCTAAACTAAATATACCCGAGCTTTAGCGTCCCCCAATCTCTTGCATAAATCCTACAATTTCTCCACCTACAATCAGAAGTTCAGCACTTCAACCAACAGCTGGAAGGGTGGAATTACGTCACCCCAAAGGGCAAAGGCTATGGAATAATGTTATGAGAGAAATTTTCTCTAGATACTAGCAACTATAAACTAAGAGTCTTACACGCTGTTTTTAACTTAGATAATAACCAGAGTCAACATTATTAAACAGTTCCCTGCTAATTGTAACCGTCGCCATCTCCAATGAGAAAGAATAAACCTACTAAATTCTAGCAGCCCAAATTGACGATTTGTTACTATAACATAAATCGTTTTGCTTAGTCATGGCATACCTAATTATCTTAGGCCGCAAGTCATTCAATAATTCCCAAAACTTTGATATGAATAAAACAAATTGATATACAGGAAGATGAGAAATCAAGAATATGTTTGTATGTGAGCGATTGCATGTGTTTGTATTTGAGCGATCGTTAGTTGCATTCAAGAATATTAAAAGCATGAAAGTGTTGGTTGTTAAAACATACAAAGTAAAGTTTACTCATCAATGGATGACAATCTTCAAAAAGCTCCCTGAGCTCATCGACAGACTGGCTTATGCCTGCAGATTTCTTTTGTAGTGATTCATCTGAAGCCACTGCAGCATCAATAATAGATTCAAGTACTGGCTTAATTAACTTCAGCACTTCTTCAATCTTGATGTAGTACTTTTCAACAATTTCACAGCATTCATTATCACGGCATGACATGTGAAGAAAACTAGAAATGTTTTTGAGAAGCACTTTCAATGGCGATATCTCCATTGCACCTGTGTAAATAAGTATTTATCATAACGATTATAAATGTTCATGGAAAATTGACACAAAGCTATCTTTTTCACCAAAGAGAAACAAAACCATCCCATGTAAAAGGGCAGATAACCAGATCTTACAACAAAGTATGCAATTATAAATTGTCAGTGCAAGTCCATTAGAAAGCCACTACATACTTCAATGTGGGTATCATTTGAAAGTTAGTTAAAAAAGAATCGAACTTTTGATTGATCCACGTACTTAGGAGCCTATGGATGAAGACATGGTTTCTCTGGATCCCATGGAATTTCATTCTAGAGTTTGCTGAGTATGCATCAATGGTTTCCAGGAAAATAGTATTTCAATGACAAATTAATATGGGACACTATAGGACGCAAACTAATTTGTTTTTGGGCATTCAATCAATGAAGTTTAAGTGCTATTAACATAATGTGATCACTAACTAATCCATATGTTGATTGTTGAATGATAAAAAGATTTTAAGCTCACCGTCATTGTATAGTTTATGATGCATCCAACATAAATACCTTTATTAAATTTCTAACATAGCATATCATTTATGTTATTAAATAGATAATTTTACAAGCATTAATCGCCCATCTTCAGAACATCTCTTTCAATTTGGGAAAGAAGTGAAGTTCTGTTGAGCACGAATGACACAAGAATTGACAAAGGAGAGTTAGAGAAGAAAGAAGCCATCATATTGACATAAGGATTGTCATCATGATACACCATATCATATCACTTGATATATGCCTCCATATCACATTACTTGATCTATGCCTTAATATCTCCTGATTTGATTCTTGTAGTTACTTTTGTGATCAGCTATAATATTTGTTTTCGTTTCTTTGTATGCATAAATACATGTTAACAATGTTGTAATAGACAAGTTCTGTTCCATCAGTTTGTATACATATATGGCTATGACATGAGCCTGCATCTTCGAATAACCATCTCAAAACCAATTGGTTGCAAGTGGATACCCTAGAATCATATATATTTCTTGTGGAAATTATATATTCCTCATACTTAGTGTCTCAACATCTGTAGCACCATGTTTTATTAAATATCATCACATGTAACAGTAAACATGAAGTTGCCAACCAACATCTATGCATAAGTTCCATTGCTGAAAAGAGCTAAACAGCACACATAAAATGAGAGAACCCATCATGGTTAATGACCAATTTGGAGATGACAGCCTCAGGAATACTTCACATGAACCTATGTTGATATTTATATCAAATGTGAAGGGCAGAAAACTATGAACCACAAAGAAAGTAAATGCAAACACCACTGACCTATCTCTGCAAACTTATGATTTGTAATTTGATAGGATCTTGTTCACATTGGTGATCCCTAGAGAAGCCAAACTCCACTGATGAAAATCTCCTGGAACTCCTTATGCAATGCATAAACACCTTAAGTAGAACATAACTGAAACAACAAGTGAGATGTGTTTGAAGAGGAATAGAGAAACAATGTGAAGGAGTTTGATTATACCTTGCACACTCTGGTCTAAAAATATCAAAAGCCAGTAATATCAGTGATGGTGAATGAAACTTCCTAACATCATGATATGCTAATAAGGTATGTACATCTAGTGATTCAACACATTTCAGCACACACAAAAAAACCCTTCAGTTATACTATTACATTATACACATCAAATCCTCATAGGAATAATAGGCAATCAAAAGGTAAACAGGCAGAATTCATTTATACGTACTTTGAATAAACCAAATTCGACTTGTTCTTATGATCGATCTCAAGGAACAAAAATGAAGCTAATATATAAGATACGAAGTAGTAATGCTTGAATTCAAACATAAGATCAAGGAAAGATTCAATAGCAGATTTTTAGTTGACCAAAATTCAATTGAAAACGCGTCAAGTAGAAGAATTGAATTAGTCCAACGTCGATCAAAAGGACTAAAAATATGGAACCCTAGAAACAAGAGATGAGTTCAACATTAGAGGTGACCTGAAGAAGTACGTAGGGAGCAGGGGTCGACTTGTGCTTGAAACTTGAATTTGACACAAAATTTGAATTTGGTTTCTCACACAAACAGGAGATGAATCTTGGATTATGATTTTGTTTACTGTCGTCATCATTCGACTACTGTTTTTCTACCATTTTCAGATATTCCTATTATTTTTCTAACACATGGTTAACCTTTCCCATCTCATCGCTCTTCCAATTTCCCTTTTGACAAGGTCAAGCCAGGTTTGAGATTGCTTATTTAAAATAACTTATTTTTTTTTTATAAAAGTATTTATTAACTTATTATAAATTAGAAGACTTTAAATTGACACCATTATAAGTTGTTTATCCAAGCACTTAAAAGTGTTTATTATCGATGTCACACCGAAATAAGTCAATAAGTTGTTTTTATAAACAATCTCAAACAATTTGATTTCTAAATAGAGAATATAAATTTATATTTAAATAAAAATAAAAAATTATAATTTTATGTAAATAAAATGATAAGGACTCTTTACCAGATGAAAATGGCCAGGACGAAAATATACAATGTCAAGGACCGAGAGTCTTATTCGATGAGTAACGATGAGGACTTTTATTCAATAAACGTTTATCGTTGCATATGACGTTTTTTTGATGACTATAATCTTATCTGATAAAATTAACGAGAGTGTAGACTTTTATTGATTAAATGTTTGTGTAAACGGTTTCTAAATATTTTATTTTAAAAACACAAGCTTTCCGAACATTTAACATACACTTTTACATTCTATAACAAGGAAATAAATAATGCAAATGTTTAAAGTTCCTTTGATTAGAACATTTTGAAATCAAAGCTCTGAATTCTTTTCATAAGCATGAAGTTTACTCCGCAATAAATGTTAGGCAATGAGATGCGTACAAACTAGTCTAAACATACACAGTTAACAAAAGAAAAGTCCACTCAAAATACCTAAATGGAACATGCTTTCATGGTTTTCTCTTTCTTTTGCAAGGATTTCTAAATGAAACCCTAACTTGTAAGATAATATATATTTGATCACCTTCTGCCCACCTTCTTTGCCGTGTGGAGTTTGACCACACGTTTGGTTGGTAGGAATTGAAATGAAATCTTTTAAAAGAATTGGAATTTCCATATTTGTTTGGAGGTGGATGGGGATGGTAGTTGTGATGACGACAATAGTAGCATGGTGGTTAGGTGGCAGGTGCGAAAGTGAAAGTGGTGGGGATAGGTGTAGGTGGTGGCTGTGATGACGAATGGCATTGTTGTGGTGGCGGAGTGGGTATGGTTGGTTAAATTGGATACAAACGTTATTTTTGTCTTTTTAAAACCAAATTATAAGATCCGTTATATGTAACAAACGATGAAATTCAAGTCATTCACTTTTACTAAGGAATGATGAAATCTTTAATATAAGGAATTCAATGGAATTCAAAAGATTCCTACATTTTCAATATGTAAACGAAACAAAGGAATTGATCATTCCAATCCCTTGAAATCCTTTAAATTCCGCGAACCAAACAACCCCTAATTGTAACTGGTAAATTTATACTTGGAATTAATATCCTCTCTTTTTGCAAGTAATAATAAATGTAACGGTTTAACATACAATGATACAAGTATAACATCATTATAGCATCAAGAGGAGATAAGCCAAAACAAGTAAATGGGAATTCTTGTTTTATAGTGACAAAGAAAAAAGGGTGTAAATTTGGCCATCAACTAAAGGCCAAGCTTTTAATTTATCGTGGAAAGCTACAACATTTCTTATATAAGTTTGCCTTTGCAAACCCGTTTTATGATTGATCCAATTCATTGGTTTTGAGTATGTGCAGCCCAAACTTCAAGTTCTTGTTGGCAGTTGTAGTTTGTTTGTTTCAAAGTGGTTCAAGTTCTGCCTCAGCCAAACCTGAATCAACGGGCCTGTACGGAATATTACCAAGTTGTCTCCAACGCCACCATGCCACAACGGCCCCCAATCCCAAAAATGATGCCACCATCAGGACTATCACCACAACTGAGTACTTCTCCCACCATGTTCTGCACTTCATTTTTATTTTCTTATCAAACCAAACTAAACTAACCATTTTCGCCTTTTTTTTTCTTATTTGTTGGTCCAGACTTTCGACCATTTCTTCTTAATATATACTGAAGGAGTCTTTTAAAGAGTCCGTTTATGGGGTCTTAACATATATTGAGAAGAAATGGTCCAAGTTTAGACTAGTAGACAAGAATATACCTATTTGGTTCGGAGTCAGTAAACCAATTGGATATATGATATTTCCCAAAGCTTTTTGGAAGGTGTATGTCACCTTCCGCTATCCGAGTAATAATAGCCTGACACCAAACATAACAAATAATAATAAGTCGGTAGTATGGTGGATAAAGACAAGGAGATGACAAAATCAACTAGGGTTCGGATCTTGCCATCTACATATGCATTTGTGGCCACTGGAGATTTACCTCAGGGCTATGGGGGAAGCTTACAGTCGCAACTTACCATGGGATTAGTCTAGACGAAGCTGATGATCACCCATTTTCCAAAAAAAGGACAAAAGGAGGAAGGCAGTATTAACTCACAGATGCAGTGGCTTTAGACATATATTCATCAGGTTTTGGTGGAACAATGGACCATATTGTAAGAGAAATATTTCCCTTGGATGTGAAATCTAATAGCTCAACCTGTACAAACCATAATTTATAGGTGAAAATTTAGCAACATGGACATGAAAGGGATGCAATCATAGTCTGAAAATGAATAAATACCTGTGAAGTGTTAACTTGCAAACCCTTGGCAATTAATCGAACAAGCTCCACGATGCGGGGTTCCAAAGTAGAGTGGTTAACATTCAGTGACATATAAAATATTATGCTTCCAACTTTTGATTCTTCTTCTGGAAGACAAACAAAATAAGAACAAAATGTGATGTTTGATGCAGGAAGAAACATAAGAAGCCTTTATCGATTTTTTGTTTATCAAATACTGCATTGTTTCTATAACGCGAGTATATTACTTGTCATGGTATCTAAAGAACAAAAATTAATCTTGGGAACTGCAAATCATATAAAACTCTTGGAGAACATCTAAAAGAACACCGAAACATGCTCTAAGGGACTTTTTTAGACCATACAATGAAAGTCGAATCAACATATTCAATAAAAAAAAAAACTCGGGTGGTTGTTCCATGTACACCTACTCAAGAACGCCATTAAGGAAAGTGTTGTTGACATCCAACTAATTTAGCGGCCATTGATTAATGACAACCAACGTTATACAAATGAAAGCAGATGACATTGGAGAGAAGGTCCCATCGTAGTCAACCCCATAGACCTAAGAATATCCCTTTGCAACTTAATGGGCTTTCAGCCAGTGCAATAAACCATCACCCCACTTTCTATTTTCCATGAGAAAGTTGTGTCGATTCCCAAAATCCCCATATGAACTTCAATTAACAGGGGAGATGTCATCCCTGTCTCAAACAAAATTAAATTCTGTTATATATGACTGTTGCGAATGTTGCAGCTATAGTTTGTAACAATGCTTACAACAGTATCAAATATGTCACTACGATCACAAACAACCAAAACATGTTTATCTAGTTCAATGACCACAAGTACATCCACAAACCCACCCAGATATGACCAATCTACTATATCACCTAATCACCAAGGTAACAAGATAATTAACTTATACTGATAAACTCCCTCTACTAAGTTGTCTAAAGAATCCCATTATCCTCTATTCAGACCTCCTGTATGTCCAGGGCTGATGACTTTCTCCCAAAGTTACTTACACCGACTCTCCCTAAACTTGTTTGAACTGCTTGCATGAACTGTTGCAACAACATAATATGGCAGTAGTTCACTCTAATTAATATCTCAATGTAGTAGTTGTTTGTTATGGTGGCAGTTGTGACTTGGTTAGGCGACTGGCTGCTTGTTCCGACGGTGGTAACTAGGTTTCCAGCACAACTTGGCGATGGCAGTTGGGAATCAGACAAAGCCTGCTGGGGTTTCGACAAAGGCTGTTGGGGTTTCGACAAAGGCTGTTGGGGTTCTGGAAACGGCTTCAGACAAGACTCCTAAAACCATGGAATTCATAAGGTGATATTTTTCTTATTAATCTAGTAAGGAACCCTACACTAATTACCATCATATATACAACTAAAGCAAACTAAAGAAAACATACTACTTATACTAAGAAAGTGAAACCCCAATTATTTACTCTACCTAACAGATGAGAAAGATAGTTCAGTGAATATTTGGTTATGAAAGGTTGGTAAATGTAGGAAAAACTTAAATTACTATATTGCCTTTCCTACATGGGACATATGACAAAAAAATGCATTTTATGCAACAGTAACCAATCAAACCAATAGCATCAAACAATTTAACCTATATGCATGGCGTAACAGCGAAAATTAAGATAAATTATAAAGCTTGAAGCTAGCAGCTTATTGTACCTGGAGTGATATTATCTGGTGTCCCCATTGGAGACGAAGGAGGAGATGTATCTTCATTTGAATGTGATCCTTCTGATGGGGAAGGAGACGAAGAAGGAGAGGAAGAAGGAGAAGAAGAAGAAGGAGACGGAAAAGGAGACTTAGAAGGAGACGAAGAAGGAGATGTATCTTCACCAGAAGCATGAAGTCTTGCCCATAAATCAGAACAATTAGTTTTCCAAAATCCTATCTTGTCATGTTCACGATCATACATAACAAAAATATTGCGAGCAATGATGCCTGTAATGAGCACAAAAATTACAAGTATAAATTTACACTCGAAACATTTTCGTGGTACGAGAAAGGGTAAGAAACTTGAGCAGCAAAAGGTAAACAAGTGAGTAACAGTGATACTAGACAGTATCGAGAAGTAATGATGACAGCAACAACCGATGGGGTGAAGTTGATATACCTCCTAAAAGAGTTGTTGGATCCTTCATGTTCTCAAAAATCCCCAGGCAATATGCACCACGCACCTTTGAGTGCTTTACAAATAAGAAACAAATGAGAAGGGAAAAGAGACTGGAATTAAGTTCTAGATATATACCATAACTGGTTTTAAAGACAAACTATATAATTTGAAGAAAAATGGTGCTTACCCTAAACAAATAGTTCTCAGGGGATAATGATAGCTTTTGTCCTTTCCCAAAAACCATTTCAACCGACGGGAAGGATTTCCAAAGTTCTGAAACATCGCTGAGATAACATACACTCAACATTAGTTCCTACTTGATTATATAATCAACTTATGTGACTACTACATGTTTATAGTTCACAAACAATACTTTGAAGCACCAGAGAAGCAAATGTCAAGATAATTTGTATCAGGACCATCGATCCGTTTGAGAGATTTGAGTTCTTTCATGAGCTGCGAGCAAGATTAGAAAATCAATAAATATACGAATGAAATGGCAAGAAGATGGAAAAAGACTATTGTCCAAGTCAAGTTTTATGCAAGTAAATTACAAGTGTTCATCTTAACACAATATAGAAAGCAAATTAATTAGAATTCATTTGTAATATAAGACCAACTTTTACTTGAATATTGTTAATGAAACAGCAATGGACAAACAATAACTTTGATCAACCTTTACCTTTTTAAAAACAATGAATTAGAGCAAATAGAAACCTAAATGTTTAAGAGAAATGAATCTTACAGCATGCTTAAATGCAAGATAAGCTTCTTCAGGTAGGTACGCATATGTTGTTCCACTATCTAGGACTGTTCCATGCTTTCCATCAAAAACACTCGGACTTATAGGTAACTTCTTCCCGGCAACATGCAACTCCTTCAGCTCAACATTGTAATATGGGCTGTTGCCACCCCGAGACTAGAGTAAATGTGTGAGATGTATCAAATGTATTTTGTTAGAAAAGACATGAAGTTTTGTATCCATGAGAAGGATAGATACAAAACATACCTGCGTACAGGGTCTGAGTAGGCATAGATCGTCCCTGAGGGGGGAGAAACACCACCAAGAACCATGGCACCACCACCAACATCCATCCCACCATAGCACAACGAAAATGAATTGCTTATTACACCTTTATCAACAAGTTGATCAACTAAACTAAGATCACCACCACCCAAACCCATTATCCCATCGGCATGTTGACTGTAAAGATCGCCCGTTTCGATATTTTCACAACCAAAAGTGGCACGCTGAGGTGAAAGTTCACTTTGGTTACCAAAAGATATGATATCCTCACCAACTACACCACTGCTAGAACTCATTTCAGCATATTGCCTTTCATACACACAATGCTTCTTGTGCTCGTCACACATGCAATCACTATTACATTTCAATGCTTTGTACGTGCTGGACTTCTTCGGATCAAACTTTGGGTCCTGGTTAGATCAACAATCTTTAATCAACTGCTAATGAAGAAGCTCTTAAGGGGAAACTTGAAACGAGCTAGGGTTTTAAGAAAAACTGTATGCGATTATATAACTTCTGTGAACTTTTTAGCTTTCAAGTTTCATCCAGATGAAGGATTAACTAATGAACATCGAAAAAATGTATGAAAAAGTACCTGATGATCGCCACATTTTTCACAGTTAGAACATGGAACATAAGTAACAGTACTCCCTGTGTCAACTATAAGAGCAAACTTCTGGGGTGGAGATCCAATCCACAACCTAGTCGTGTAATACCTAATAATCATCAATTCAATCAATCAAATATCTACATGGTACAATCTATTACTTCTGAAACTAAAATGTGACAAGAATTGACTACAATTTCTATTCAATGTGATCCCAAGTGAATTCGAATATTTCTACTCAATGATCGTTAGTTCTCCAAGTATAATTCACATATCCATATCATTATCATGTGTGTGCGTGAAATCAATCGAGAAATAAATAGATACCCATTGACGAGGAGATCATCATGGAGAGCCATCCGCGCGTTTGGACGACGAGTATCGGATTTCTGGAGGTGACGTCGAGACCTTCCGTCACCGAAGAACGAGGAGACCCGGGAGGAGTTAGGAGGAGAAGGGAAAAGAGGTAGAAACATTGTGTGACGATTGCTACCTGCATGTGGAGGACGGAGAATAATAGTGCTTGAATCATCGACAATCGCATAAACAAACAAGGACGACCACAAATTATTAAACAACACAAAAATCGACATGATCACGGTGATGGTAGTAAACGACCCCGGTACCCAGGTGAAGCGTGCCATAATTGGGCAATCACCGATTTATTGCGTTGAAGGGAATGTATGAAGATCAAGAAAGACAATGAAATTGAATCCTATCTCTTAAGAAAGTATTAGTGGTAGAGCGAGGGATGAAAGAGGTGTGCCAAGTTTTCCTTTCTGGTAAGAGCTCCGATCAAATCACCGGCGACGATGAGCAGCGTTTATTGGCAGAGAGAAAAGCTTGTTGATGGTCATTCGAATTTACCGACAACGACGTTTACCGGATCTGGAAGGTAAAGAGATCCCCGAAAGCCTTGCGTTATGCTGGTCACTTTCTAACTTCAATCTTTTTTAACGTATAGAGAGATTATTTTTATTTAGAGTAAATTACATATTTGGTCCCTATGGTTATATGAAAATTATAGATTGGATCTTCTAAACGAAATAATTACATACATAGTCACTATGGTTTCATTTTTGTTATGGATGAGGTCCCTTCTTTAAATACCGTTAGACATCTATCTGTTAAATTCCTTATGTACTTGTCAAGTGAAGGTCACTTACCAAAATTGACTAGCTTATTCTCTCATGAACCATCTGATCTCTAGTTGTTTTAACCATAGTCGCTCTAAAACCTGCTTGTTGATGATGAGAGAGACGATGAAATCGACATCAATGTTAGACATAACCATTAAATTCATCATCTGGGTTCGAAAATTGTAATCCCGACTCTCTCTCTTTAAACTCGGTGAAATATTTATCCAAACCACGACGAACCCTAAATCTCTTTCCTTCGATTTTCTTGATGAACCTGGGACTTCCTTTGCACAAGGAATTGAATTCAATGTCAGAAAGGTGCGAATGTCGGAGAGTGGAGTAAGCTCGTGTAGCATACAGTGGCTACTGCTGCCTACATCAGATCCAATTTATGTGGTTAAGAAATTAGGAATTATACGATCTGGCAATCTCTAGACTAGATTTAACACAGATTGATTACCAATTGCAATAAGCGTTTCCATTAAATTAGATCTCGGAAATCCATTCACCGAAAAGAGACATTAATCTTTGGATATGTTTTTAGATATGGGTTTTATGGAGATCTAGGCTTTTAGTTTGATGGATGGGTTTCTTTCAGATATTGTGGTCGACGTTGTTGTGGCCGGAGTTAAGGGAGGGGCAGATAAAGGGAGCGCGTCGGAGAAGGGTTGGGAATGGTCGATAACTCACCGGTTTAGGCGGATGAGGGAGAAACGTACAATATTATATATTTTCTATTTATCTAAATGTAAATGACCAAAAACACCCTGACTTAACGGAACTAAGTTAACGGAGTTAGAGACAGGAACTCAATTCATAACAAAATTGAAACCATAGTGACCATATTTGTAATTATTTTATTTGAGGTCCCCAATTCAAATTTTCATACAACCACATGGACGAAATTTGTAATTTACTCTTTTATTTATATTTATATCTAAAAAACTATCTGAACTAAAACGACCATGTTTTATTGTTATTTATAGAAGATAATTATATTTTTGTCCATCGTCTATGGCTATTTTCTGGTTTTCGTCTCTACAATTTGTAAAGTAACTTTTTGGTCCATTTTTTGTGTTTTTCTGGTTTTCGTCTCTACAATTTGTAAAGTAACTTTTTTGGTCCATTTTTTGTGTTTCACAACCCAAACTAGTCTCTTCCATTAACATTGTTAGAGAAGGTTCCGTCAAATGCATCATGACCCCTCATGTGAAGGGCAAATATGTCATTTTACCCTTTTTGTTACAATATATTATACATATAGAGGGGGGGGGGGGTAGGATCTTTTGTTAGCCAACAATATGTAGTTAAATTTGTGAATTTATTGGACCAATAAAATTTATTCTTTAGTAGAGATTATTTCAAATGTTTGATTTAATCATGAATGACAAATAGATAATTTTTATATGTAAGTTACTTTTATGACATTTAATGAGATGTTACAGTTTTTATATGTAAGTTACTTATACAATAATTAGTGAGATGTTAAAATTGTTTTTTTGTAAGTTCAGTTAATGGTATTTAATGAGATTTTACTAATTATTATTTCCATGTTTTCATGGATTATAATCATATCATCACATTTCAAGATTTAGAATAATTATGTTAATTTTAACGTGAATTAATAGTTAATCAAAGTGAACATATTGCAGGTTTATATGTGAAATGTTCCAAAAACATACTGAACTTATTCACCATATTAATTTGAATTGCATTAATACATGATGTTCATAGCCATAAGGTCTTCATAAGAATGTGATTATAACCATAAGGAATTCATAAGATTGTGTTCATAACCATATGGTGTTCAATAAGATTATTCGTAGATGTTTATATGTTATGATCTTTTTCCACAAATACCCATGTTCAATAATGTTCATCAATGTTTGTTTATGTTCAGTTTTTCTTTTATTATAAATATGTCATGATTAATTTAATTCATAGATTTCAAGAATGAAGGATAAAAATTGGTTCACATAATTAAACAATCACGGATTAACAAAAGAACTAACTCAAATACATACATATATAGAGGTGAGTTATTATGCAACCCTTTACATTTGTACTACCAATACACTCGATCTCAACCGTGCATTAAATTTAATGAATATATAATTTCATAAAAGTTTTCATTGTTTCATAATATAAAATATTGATCATAATTAATGAACTCTAGTCATCTTCCATAAATATTTAAATCATAATAAATGAACTTTCGTCATTTTCATAAATATCTAAATTGATTGGATATCCAGGTGAAGTACCAGGAGGTCTCAGGTTCAAATCAAATGAGGAAAAAAAAATCCTCTTGTGTCAATGGAGGTTCAAATACGGTGACTCTGGACTATCTGCAAAACAGATAGTCGTCCTAGAATTTGTCGGCTAGCATAACTGGTTGGATATCCAGGTTAATAAAAAAAATGGTGAAGTAGAGTTGCCAAATTGGGCCCAGTTCGGGTCAGTTATATCCTGATTGTCCGAGACCAGTTATAAATTTTATAGAATTTCAAAGCCTGATTCATGACGATATATAGGATCGATTTTTTTATTTATATTTTCAAGTTCTTTTTTTCAACTAAAATTGTTATGTAAAGTGTATTGTAATATTAAATTTCAAAATCGTAATTAAAAAAAAAACATTAATAAAATTGTGTTAAAAAGATTTAAAAGTAAATTAAAAAAAGTAGCCCAAACCAAGGTCCAGATTTGGGGCCAGCCCAATGAGACTGGATTAGTTACTGGGCCTAGGAATTTTGGTCGAAACCGGCCTTCTGATTTTAAAGGGGTCAAGGACCGATTTGGGACTGATCCGTCTGGCTCGGGACCTATTTCAGTACTCGGTAGTGAGGTCTAACGATCTCGTTTGGAATCACACCTACACGGTCATATGTGTTTTATGGTTGCTTATATCGAGCTTACTAAACATCTCGTACCGATTTGAAACACAAGTAGCATTCATACATGGCATGGACATACCAAAACATATAAAAACTCAACTCACGAAACCGTCTCGAATTCAAAGCAAAACCTTGCACATAATGCCTGATTTTAAGTTCTCGATTCGACTATTTGAGCGATTTCTTGAACACAAAAACCTCATTTGTAGTTATTTTTCACCGATTCTTATTACATAAAAACGCTACTAATGCACAACATCATGGCATGTTAAAACATTAATTAATTAGTCATCATGTACCAAACAAAGCCAGTATATTTCATACACAGCAACTCTAGAAAATATAAGATATACGCAGAATTTTCTTCTACTCCAAACAGTAAAGAGGTCGTTTCCATATTCAGTTGCTTAATCTTTCCAAAGAGAGGTCTTACATACTGCTACATCAGTGCAACGTGATCAGCCTTCAATAAGAGGTCATAAACACTAACATCTACGACGTTGCTACAACATAACGATGTCATTTTTCTGACGGATTTCGGCTGCTAGGATTACGATTGTGTTAATAATATAGCCTGAAAAGCATAAATTATATACATATACCAGCGTGTAAAAGCTCTACATTACTTGGCTTCTTGGCTTCAAGAAACCAAATGTAGATACGGTAACGCTTCGCCAAATAAGGTACACCACGAATGCGACGTATGCAGCAGTGAAGACGATGACAATAGAAGTAAAGACCGGCCCGCTTACTTCTTCAGCAAAAAATTGTTGCAATAGATACCCGTTTATCGCCATCACAAGCACAGCCACAAACCACGAGATTGTCTGCAAAGTTATATTCAAATCAAACATGAAATATCGATCATGTTGATCTGGTATGCAAGACAAGACAGGACAAGACAAATAAAAACTTGTTGTCCCATGTTTGTTGTGATATTGACTGGGAAAGGACTGGGCCTAAGTTAGACAAAAATGCATTTTTTTCGTCCCAACAAAATAGGTGGAACAAAGACTGCTAAATTATTAAACTACTCATATCAAATTAAAACCCTAAAACCTTGCACGATTATTTCAACGATCCAGTCCAGTCCAGTCAACTACTGATGCGTACCAAACACACCCCAAAAGATGAAAAAATAAACAATTTTGTTGATAATTTTGAGCGAAAGATGATACCTTTAGAACAGGACCGATCTTGAAAACGCCCATGAGATCGTCTTTGGCCACCAGACACAGAAGAGGAATAAGCGCAAACGGGATCTGAACAGACTGGAGGATATTCAGCCATTCATTTAGCGAGTCCAACGTCTCCTCAGAACTATCGAAAATTAGAGCAACCATCAACGTCGGAACTATAGCACAGCTACGTGTTATTAATGCCCTTGCCCATTTCTTCAATCTCAAATCAAGAAAACCACCCATAATAAACTGGCCGGCATACGTTCCCGTGATCGTACTACTTTGTCCAGCCGCTAACAACCCGACAGCCCAAATATACAGAATCGGCACAAACCCTCCACCGAACTTCTCTTGAAGAAACTGACCAGCGTTCCCAAGACCAATAGTATTGGCTATTTCAGTACCAAAGAACGCCTTTGCAAATACAGTCGTTACAAAGAGGTTAATAATGAACGAAATAGCAAGTGCTATGGCAGATTCTATCGAGTAGTACTTCAGAGCTTCTCGGACCCGACCGGTTTTTCGTGGGTCGATTTCTCTCGATTGTACAAGTGCAGAATGTAAGAACACATTATGCGGCATTATAATGCAGCCAACGACTCCCACTGCTTGCTGGATTGTTTTTGAATTAAGTTTTGGAACCACAATACCTTACAAAGAGGAAGAAAATGTTAGCGATTTTTAGTCGAAATAAAACTAGAAGCTGAATTGTTAAAGAGAGGTATCGTTTCTCACCAACAAGAAGCTCCTTGCCATCGGGCTTAGTTTCACCAAACATCCAAGCAAATGAGACTGCCATTACTGCAATTAGCACCCCGAAAAGTGCCTCTAGCTTCCTCACACCATAGTTTTCGAGAAATAAGAAGATGAAACTGCATTTAAGATTAGAAGAAAACAAAGTAATCAATAAAATTGTCGAAATCAGATTGCTGTTCTTTTCTGAAAGATCCGAAAAACCGAACCCAAAATCAAATCTAGGAAAAGCCCATTTTTTTACAGAACCCAATTCATGACAGATGGTATAATCATCATTTTTTTTCTTTAGGGTTCAATATCAGATGAATCAAAAGGGAATTAAACTATTCACTTGATATCAAAAGCAAAAAAACAGATGAAACATGACGATTAAAGAACAGATACATACATAGAGAATTTGACAAACTATTCAGAAACATCACATGAATCACAGAATCAAGTCATGTTGTTAAAGATCCAATTATCAAGAACACCAAGAACCCTAATCAAATCATGAAAACAAACAATTCTTAAAACCTAATTTTTGACAGACTGCAATCTTGATTTTAAGGGTTTACTATCAAATGATCTATAGATTAAACTAATTAACTCAAGAGTCAAGATGCTCCAATCACAAATAGATACACACGTATACAAACAAATCACAAACAGACAAACAGACAAAATTTGACAAACTACAAAAAGCCATCAGATGAATCAGATTTAAGAAGCCATCATCACCCATTAAAATATAATGGATCCAATTTTGAGGAACACCCAGAATCCAAGTCAAATTTTAAAAAGACGTTTTCTTCCACCCCCTTTTTTGATAAGACAGTGAAAATCTTCGATTTTTAGGGCTCGATATCAAACGATCAGTGAATTACACCATTCTAAGATGATCAAAATGGAAAATTCAATGCAGTTAAACTTCAATTAACTGATATCTAAAAATGAGAACAGATTGTAATTTACCAATCGAAGGCAGTGATAAGGACACCAGCCCAAAGGGGCAAAAACCCAATTGTCAAAATCTTGAGAGCAATCGCACTCCCAATAACTTCTTGAATATCGGCTCCGATAAGTGCGAGCTCAGTCATGATCCACAGTAACTTCCCCGCCCAATTCGGGTATTCTTCCCTGCACAGCTCAGCCAAATGCCTCCCGGTGACTACACCAAGCCGAGCCGATAAAAGTTGAACGAGCAAGCCAATAGCCGTAGCCCACAAAAGCAACCATAAGAGTGAATAACCCGCGATCGCACCCGCCTGAAGATCACCCTCTAAGTTACCCGGATCCAAGAACGCTATACTCATCAATAATCCGGGTCCAGTGAACACCCATAACTTCCGCCATGAGAACGGCGGCGTTTTGTCGCCGTACTCGTCGAATTGGTGTTGGTCGTCGTCTACTCCTACTACATGTACTTTTTCGTTGGGTTCGTAGGCGGTTTCTCTATCGTCGGAAGTCAGTAACGGTTGATGCTGATCGGAAGGCATATCCGTTAATGGGTGATTTGATCCCCTTTTCGTCTGAGAGAGGTGGCCGGAGTGAGGTGGTGGGGGTTGGTGAGAGGAATAAGTTGGAAAAGATTGTCGATGCTTTCTACGTTTTGAGGGTTTACTAAAGAAACTTGTCCCAAAAGACGAAAGGTAGCATGAACGAACATATGCAGCAAATCAAATCCTTCATTTAAAAAGTAGTTTCTAAACTGAGTTTAATATCGAATTTTTTATTTTAATATTATTATGTCTTGTTTTTTCAACTTTATCATATTAAAAATAAAAATGTGTCTTTTTTTTATTATAAATTATATCATTATATTTTTTTTTTTAAATTATATTATTATATGATATATATTACAAAAGAATATTTTTATCACTTACACTTTGTACCATTATATTTATTTATTTAAATTATATTATTATATGATATATATTACAAAAGAATATTTTTATCACTTACACTTTGTACCATTATATTTATTTAATTTTTGAGTGCATCCCTTACTTTTTCATTTTTCGTTTTATGTAACATCCCCATACTTCACATTTGCATAAAATACATATTTCATTACATAGAAACATAGATTACATTAGAAAGGTCCCACTAATACATGGATTGTTATATGTACAAAATCTACATATAAAATTTTCAAAACAAATCCTGTACTACTACATGTAACACAACATGTATCTTCAAAAGCAGGAAACAGATTAGGAAAATAATCACATTTTCCCTTTCCCTTTTATATCCCCGAACCCAGCTATTCCTGCATTGCATAATTTACAACAGAAAATGAGGGTTAGACCATACAGGTCTAGTGAGTAAATCCCNTATTTCTGGATTTAATAATATTATAAAATAGCATAAATACGTACAAGTTTGTACTATCTATATTTATAGTATGTTAATAAACATATACAAAGGTTATTGTAGAAAAAAAAAAATCAGGTATATGAATCTATATTATGCATTGTTACTTACATCTGTTCTAAATTCATATTCAATTATATTGTACAAATATACAACTAGCGTCAAAATGGACAAAAAAATATGATTGACATTTTAAGTTCTCAGTTTTAAGTTGAAAAGCACATTACGACATTGTGCAAACACCTTACTAGTACATCTATATACATAGAAATATATATTAAATTTGGGATTTCATCAAATTGCATAAAAAAGCCTACATCGTCATATCACATGGTCTGATTTTTTCATGATACAATTTACGGTTTGCATTTTTTTATGAAAATGCTTAAAGCACCTATCTTGAATAGACGGTGTTGATGGACGCGGTGTTAAACAAGTGGAACTTTGACGTATAGTTGTAGGCGAACATGAAGGTTAATGTCCTTAATCTCTAGAGGTTTAACAATTAACATACCTTAAACTGCAGAATTAACATAAGTTGACATGAAAATATTCGATTAAAGAACTCTGGACATATATGAATGTAAGTTTACATACCTGACCTTAACATGTATTAACATTTAAGTTATAACATATATTAACATGTACAGTTAACGTGATTTAACATTAAAAGTAATGTACCTTAATTATGCTAAACTCTCATATAAAATAGTGAAAAAGAGAAAGAGAATGGAGAAATCTTCAAATTTAGAAGAAAAGACAAAAAAAAATTATAACATACATATTGGAGATACTCTTATAATGAACGGCAAACCCAATATGGTGCATACAGTGGCACGTGGCACGGTTTTTGTTCATCCATTGTAGCGTAAAAAAATTAGGTCATGAAAGGTGCCATCATTTTATCGTGTTGGGTGTGACATTTTTTAAAACTACAATAATAACACAAATTTTCTCTTGACATGGTTGGTTTGCATGGTTGTTTTCCCCTTCTAGCAATGAGTTCAAATATCATTTTCTTAATTTTTAGTTTTTGATTTTAAGTTTATTATTACTTTTATTTTTTTTGGAATAAAAAACTCGTGAAATTTTTTGAGATAAAAGAATTAAACACATAACTTCATATACATAAAACAAGAAACTAACCAACAAGTCTAAGATGATTTTATATAAAAAATATATTAATAAATTTTTATAATAAAATGATACGAACACTTAAAAACTTACATGTCCGTCTCTACATAGAACTATTGTATTGATATAATTTAAAAAATGTAAATTGTAACTAAAAGTGGGTTGATAAAATATAAGTAGATGAATCTGTAAATTGTAACTACAATATAATTGAAAAAATGAATCTGTAATACTCATTATTCAAAAGCCTTTTAAATAGAGATAAAATATAAGTAGATAACTACGATAGATATTAGTCATCATTATATCTTTTAGACGATGTCACACTTATCCTATAACATATCTATCTTTTTTTAGTCTTTTATTTCTATTTAATTTAATGTTATTAGAGATATATTAATAATTAATTAAAGGAAAAAGAAAAAGCATCATTAGAAGAGTTTGAAAGAAGAAGCAAGCTCCATATAATTCAATGGTCTGAATGTGAGATGCAAAGCTTATCTCATCCAGTCACGACAAACTTGAAACAACACGCTACGTATTTTTTTATTTTAATTTTAATTTTTTTAGATCTTCATTTTTTTCATTTTATTAAGAATTCATCGTCTCCATAAATTTGTTTCTTCTTAGATGTTTTATGCAAAATTATCAATTTTCTAAGTTTAGGAATTACTATAAAAAGGGGGTTGGAGTTGGACTTAACGAGAACGAAGTTAATTTACGAGAATGTATTTTGATGTTTACATTGCATGTGATTAAGAAGGGTCAACCAAAGGCGGGTAACACGTCCACTTGGCTCGACGACCACATGTAATTTTCACTAAAAAAAATCATAAGTGATATAGACGTTCTAGCGTTTCCCATAAGTTGACCACGATCTTGTTTGATCTTCTCTCTAACTCTCTTTCCATATATATATATATATATATATATATATATATATAAAGAGAGAGAGAGAGAGTATCTAATACAAACCTTTCAATTACTACTAAGCAATCTCTACTGTTTCATATAATCTATTGAATATTTCGTTTCATAAATATTTTGATTATATTCTTGTCTAAAGTGTTTAATCATAATGAATGATTTCTGATCATTTTTCATAAATATCCAGATTATACTTTATCTGTTCCAAAATAAATGTCCACAATTGAAATGACACACAGTTTTAGGCATATATAATTATTACACTTTTTATTAACCAAATGACATGTTTATAATTTCTCTCTTTTTCACTATCTTAAATATTCAAGCATTAATTAAGGGTAAATTTGAGAATTTGGTTCTTTATTTTTGAAAATGAATATTTATTTTAAGACAAATATAATTACAAATATGAATAATTATTTTGAGACTAAGAAAATAATAAATATATTATCATCATTTCCTTAAATGTCTTATTTATTTGGTAAGGGTCGTTTACCCAATTGCTTACCCTGTAAGTGTTTACCGATAAGAGTCAACACTATGATTTGTTTTGATGCGCAAGATTTTAGTACATCAAAACATATCGAATGCAACAATTTACTGGGTAAGCGCTTACCTTGGTTAGAGCCATCATCATCACTTACCGGGTAAGACTCTACATCATTCCTATCGCTCTTACCCGGTAAGATTTTTGGCCATTCTCATGTTCATCCAATAAGAAAATTTATCCGATAAGCATTTATCAAGTATGTATTTAGTAAATGGCTCCTAATTAAGTATGATTGATATGAATTTGTATAACTTCCTATAAAATGTAAAACTATAACATATTTAAAAAATCATAAAATAAGAAATAAAATATGCATCCATATCCATATGATATGAAAAAAGGATGTGATTTGTTTGTGCATCCTATGTTGGCACATGAAGCGAGACATTACTTTTTCTTATTTAATATTCCATTGACTTTTACACATTTTAATATCGATTTTTAATATAAAACAATAAAATAACATCTCTAAGCAAATTTTTTTATTTTTTTATTTGATAATTTTGGGTGTTATTCATATTTGGATAAAGAAAAACTCTTCCCAGTTCTCTCTCATATTTTCTTAATTTTAGAGATGGTTTTGAAAAATCTGTTAAAATAAAATACTGACTCAAAATTTTCATTTCTCCATTTTAAAAAAGCTATTGAAGATGTATTAACAATTATTTAAATAAAATAGATATTGGGTACTAATAAGAATTGAAATACCAACAAGAAAGCAACACCTTTCCCTTTCCCAAATTTATAAATAAAATCACATCTCAATCATGTCTCACAAATAAAATTAAAACACATCGGATTTTCATTTGTATCTTAAGTTTATTTAATTCATATTCACTTCCTCTTTCTGATTATATGTATTCAAATAACCGATGGATGTAAATGATACATAAAAATTTAGGACATTTAATTTTTATCTTGAATTTATATGTTCAAGGACGGATAGTTTGGTTGATTTTAAAAATTATAAGGGGTTCAAATATAGTTCAACCAAAATATGAAACCTAAACTAATTTTAATTTTAATTCTAAGTTTCTTTTGTTTTGTTTTGTTAACGTCAAATCTTTAGAATTTCAAACAAGTTTTTTTTTATTAATCTGGATATCTAATTCGCTATGCGAGTTGATTAATTCCAGGACGACCATTTGCTTTGCAGATAGTCTGGAGTCACCGCATAACAAAACTTTATATAGTTAAGAAGACGTTCAAATATTTTAGAGTAGATTAGAAGGATACTCAATTTTAATGTTTCATTTTATTCTTTATCTCTATCAATATAATACGGTTTTATGTGGTTTTGAAAAAACGATAACGTTTTTATTTTTGATAAAATATGAATTTGAAAAAATTATATCGATATTAGCATCAAATTAATTATTTAAAAATTCTTATTTTTTGTGTAATTTTATTAATTCGATTTTTAATATATTTTAATTTAGGCTTAATAATGAAGCAATTTTTTTTTTTTTTTGGTTTAATAATATAGTTTTATATAAAGATTATAGTTAAATATTATGTTACAACTCAATTATTCCAATTATATTTTAGATTTTTATATATTTAAAATAAGATATTTATCATGTATTTGATTATATTTATTTACAGTTAGTTACACGAATTTAAACATAAAGCTTTAATAA